TAAAGTTGATTTCTGATGCAAAACTCTGGCCTGTTTCTTGATCGCGTGTTATCGTTTGCCATATCATACTTGTCGGACCCGAAAACCGCTCGACCGGAAGCCGTTTCGAAATATGACCATAACATAAGGAAGCTACCCGCTGAGAGATAGTCCGAATCTGTTCTGTTCTCCGTGACCTCATTTCCCTTCGCCATAACCTCAGGCCAAAGTTGGCAGTCTGAGCACTCTCAAGGACACAGCTTGTGGCGCTACATACACCGATACTCCCTCAGGTAAACAGGAGTATGTGGCCTTGAAGCTGTGGTGTGTTCAACTTTAACAACTCCTGCAATCAAATGTGCAAAGATTGAGTGTAACAAGCCGTTCGGTGTGATACAGCTGGTCCATTTTAGCGATGTTTACCATGAAAATAACGTATGTGGCTTATTTCTCCCCCTGGTGTGAGTTTTTAGGTCCCGAAACCTCTAAAAAAAGCAGAAATTTGCCCACGAAAACGGACGGACGAGGCGTGGGGAGGGCGCTGTTGACGCCTGCATTCACGAGTTGCACATTCCCAGGATCATTCGCACAGGGTAGGTCACGTGGGCGCACAGGGTAGGGAAAGGTCGCGGTAAACCACGTGACTCATCCTCGGCTCTGGTCGGAAGAAGGTGCCCTAAGCTATCTGGCCGATAGTAGGCTGGGAGCATTCAATTTCAAAAGTCTGTCTTTTTGTCACATTTTCACGTAGTATGTTGAATCAACCCTATCCTATCCCATACCGATAGTCATGGAGCAAAAATTCAATGCCGCTTTGCCGTACCCCCAAAAGGTCGAAGGTCATGGGGCACGTCCGTTGTGCAATCTTAACCTTAGCTGATTTAGCTTACACTACAACGCGAACCTGTCTATATTAGCAACCGCTAATATTTCTATCTAGTAAAAATTTAGTCCTGAAAAACTGAGCTTTTGTTACAAAAAGAGTGACCAAAATACCATTTTTAAAAATTAATCCGTTTTTTTCACTATTAATTCTATCAGTACAATGACTTTTGGTCTCTTATTTTCATCACAAAATGTTACTTTATGATGAATTTATTCAAGCACCTTTTCATGTATCATACGACAGCTAAGCGCTGAGCGTAAGGGGCCTCAAAGTGGCGGCGAAACTTTCGCTTTCTTTTGTGATGGTTTCTTCGGTATATCATCTTCTAAGGTAAGTTGTCCCCGATTTTGTGACTTTTGTAATACTTACGGGTTCTGATGAAATCTGTCTGTGGGCTTAGAGAGTGCCCCAACTATCTGTAACTTGGCTTATGTGTGTGAAGAATGGGAGGGGGGCAAGGTACACTTAAAACTTCACCGGACAAGTTTACCACCTCACGAATGCAGAAATCATTCATTTCGATATTATCTCAGGATGTAAAACATGAAGAGATCATATTTATGGACGTTCCTTGGTAAAAGTTGATCGCTAAGGTGCTTTTTCCCGCCCATTCAGTGTTTTCTAAACCCGGAAGTTTAACGTTTTGAATCATATTTGATCGCACTAATTTTTGTGTGGCTCCCTACCCAAAAAATAGAGACAACACGGTCATTTAGTGCAAACCTTCACATAAACCAAGATTTTTTTATGTAGTAGTCAATACAAATGCAAAATTTACCTTAAGGTTTAAACCAAGACTTTTCTTTGCATGCATACTAAGTTACTAACGTTAGTACATATTACAGTCAAGATCATCAGAGACAATCATTTAGCATAGAAATACACATTACACACCCACACACACACATACATGTGCATTCTTAAGATTCAAACCAAGACTTTTCTTTGCATGCATACTAAGTTACTAACGTTAGTACATATTACAGTCAAGATCATCAGAGACAATCATTTAGCATAGAAATACACATTACACACCCACACACATGTACACACATACATGTGCATTCTTAAGATTCAAACCAAGACTTTTCTTTGCATACGATACATGCAGTCAAGATGAGACAGTCACTTAGTGTATGTATAGAAATACACGTACACATACCATACATCCACACACACCTTGGTGGTCCTACAGACATACAAACCCATGTGCATCCTTAAGATTCAAACCTTTTCTTCACACACAGGTTCAGGTTGAAAGATGGGTTCCAAGCGGACGTTGATCCCTCTGTCCCTGACGAGGAACTATGCTCCAAACTGGGACGTGTGGGAGGGACTGAGGGAGATGGTTCAGTGCTGACATTTCAGTGTCTGTCAGACACCTTCCTCAGAGCTTCTGACTGGAGTCCTGCTTCTTGCGGCTAATGCCGCTACATGTAGTGGATGTAGGTGGCGCTTTTGCAGCGAGAACACAATCCAAAACATAACTGAATTTGTACCCCCCTCGTCCCTCACTTTAGGTGAGATAACTTGTTTGTGTAAAAGAAAAACCCCATATCTTTAATATATATTTACTAACCTGGTGAAACTATTTTTGGAAGGTAGTCTTAGTTTTAACTCTTCTAGAAATCCTCCCACTACTTATACACATGTAAATGTTGTTACCTCCAACAATAACTTGTGATGATTGTGTTAAACTGTTGGATAAATAGTGAGTTCAGCACCAAGGACAGAGCCGATATTTCACATTTTATGTGGAAACGCTTAGAGTATGAGACAGTCCTTAAGTTTTGGCATACATAAGGTAGGAAGATAAGTAGGAAGGTAGAGAAGGTAATTTATATGTTTTCACATGATACTACTAACTGATGTTGGCTTCTTTTTTTTCCACAGATGTGCCATGATCACACAGTACGTTGAAATACAACAGACAGATCTCCGGGACAGGAACACAACAGAAGTGCATGTCAGACCATCACAAATCTGTGCTCTGATATGATGGAGAACACTGATGGAGAAACTACATGTAAGTTTTTGATGCTTTACATTTTGTGTTTGCCTCACTGGTACTACTACATTACCCAGATATGTTTTGAGAAGGCTACAGGTATGAGACATTGCATCACTCTTGACAAAAGGATTTGTAAACCAATGGATGCATTTTCAATGCTAATATGACCACAGAGCTGCACATATGTTCACTCGTAGTTGTTCTCCTTGTGTGTATTTTGTGTCCATGGTTATACTAATAATTGTCACATATTTTAAGCAACATAACGTCTTAGCAAGTGTCAATACTAATTTTCCAACCTTTTGTTTTGTTGGTTTGTACAGAACCAGCGTTATGTGTGCTCTGTCTGCCACACCAAGAGAAGGTCCCACTTGATCCAGCCCTGTGGACACTACAACAGCTGTGAAACATGTCTGTTACAGTTAGCAGGCTGTCCTGTGTGTAAGAAACCCATAGAGAGCAAGATCAAGGTGTTTGAATAGCTTTGAAATTCTAATAGTAAGTCTTCTGATGTTGAGCATTCTGTATGTTTTGTATGAAATGTAAATGTGCTTATTTTACTGTATCCCTTCAAATATATTGTGCCTTACCTGCCAATTTAAAAAGAGAACTAGAACTCTGTCAAAAGTTCAAAGTTTCCAAAGTAAATTGACCAACTATTGACAGATACACAATATAAAACCTATTGGTATGCATAGAAACTACATGTATGCAGTTGTATTCAAGGCACTGTTTAATTATTAAGGTGACATGGAAGGGTGCAGGGGCATCCATAATGGTCATGGACCAGGACAAAAACAAACTGGTGGAGGATTGCCACAGGTGCAAGTCTTTTGTTAAAAGCTAGGGCTGAAGAGCCACAGGACTGATGATGATAGACAGTATTAAAGAAATTTAAAAGCTAATTCATTAATTTTAACAGAACCTGTAATGGTAAACAGTTTCCTCAACTGTTTCCTTGTATAGCCTGTGAAACCCATTGGCAAGCTCTTTGTCTGGCTCCCTAGTGGACTAACTAGGGAGCTGGCGAAAAGCGAGGTTTAGTCAGGCTACTTCATTGTACAGTTGTATACAAAATGCTTCAGAAGGCACAGTGAATAATTCTTTTCACAATTCTGTACAGGTATAGTCGGTATAACCGCCGTTCGGTGTAACACATCAGCTTTGTTGAGATTCAGTTTGTATATTTAGAATAATGATCATTTGATAGTGTCAAAACTCTGTTACAGTTCAATAATGAATAAAGTCGGGCATACTGAATATTGTCAGCGAACTAATTTCCATAGTTCATGCTGGATTATTGTGGTATCCAGTGTTTTAAGTATTTCACATTGATTGAGTTCAAGGAACCCAAAAGCAGCTGCTTAAAGTAGTATGGAAATTCTCTCATGCTTAGCCATGATAATAAAAAACTATTCTATGTCAATGTAGTCAATGTATTTGTTTAGAGTTCTAGCCTTGAATTGTTTTTAATGTTTTTAATGTGTAGTCTTATGTTTACACTAGCAATGAGTCAGTCAAGCACAAAGAAGACCAAGGTAAAATCATATTTCATATTTCTTTATTTGAGACTGAGTCCTTTTTTTTCCATAATTCTCAGGCAAACTGGCACAATGCATTTTTTGTTCCAAAAGATCATTGAAATCTTCCTTTGGTAGTCCATCAATTTTCTGATGATCACAATTCATATAATATATCTACAAATGTATATTCTTAGAAATATGCAACATGTAAGTCCTTGAATTGCACATTTGAGTGAGTAATACTTAGTATAACAATATACATAGATCCTGAAAAACATTCAACACATCATAGAAAAAACAGTTATCTGCAACAAAAGTTTACAATAAAATGAAGCACATACATTTACTGAGTTGGCTTCAATGTACAATGCATGATTACATTACATTACATGTTATAGTACATTATATAGTACATAGTTCCTAAGCTCTCTAAGAGCAATAATAATGGAATTGTGCAGGAATAGCATGATTGTGGCTGCTGTACAAAATTGCACTGACTGTTTATTCTTCCATATTACCTAGATTGCCTTCTACGTGTGTGCTGCTCCACATTTTGCCAAGCTGCACTCTTTCAATTGTTCCAAGGTGAGCCCTGCTTGTTTCCCCTGGATCTTAAACTATCAATTTTCTTAACCACACTTCATCTTGTCAAGCTACCTGTTCTGTAACTTTTATGTGTGGGTCACCATACCCCGTATAGCTTCCTGAATGTGTTTTATCTGATTCTATTGCATTGTCACAATTCCAATAAATCAAATCAACCCTTTGGGAAATAAGTAAACAATTCAGGATTGTGTTTTTTGATATCATCAGCAATGGCAGTCATTGTAATCCCTTGTCCCACTATGCTTGGAGATCCTTTATACAAAAGGCAGCCACGGGTATGCACAGCAATTAAATTTCCAATTTCGTCAAAAACCGGGGACCCAGAAGAGCCAGCACCTAAGCAAGTCTTGTATGTAGCCCTTCTAGGGTCTGCCAATGCCGAGAAATCAGCACCCCCTGTGGAATTTGGATTGAACTCTGAATAATATGCAGGATTCACAAGAGGACAACCTACATCAATATTTTTGGGACCACCAAGTTGGTGTCCAATAATAGTCACAGTACTTCCCTCTCTTATTGGCCCTATCAAATACTCTAAGCCTGGCAGCTTTTCCTGGACTCTCTGAAACTTGTTTTCAGGAATTTCCAGTTCAAGAAAACTGTAATCCAACTCATCCTGACTGTGTATTACTTCTTTAACATTGTACCTGATACTGTCATTAGGATCCGGCAGATTTCCCAAGTAGTTAAAGTGCACAAAGGCACCACTGCAATTTCCACTCGACAGACCTGCTATGTCCATGACATGATGGTTTGTCAGAATAAACTTTGGGCCAACTCTAAAACATGTCCCACACATATGATCATCTTTGAACAGGACTCCTACAGAGTTAGAATAGCTAAGAAGGCTCTGCATCATTTGGATTGACATGCCATTGCTCCACTGATTGACATTGTGAACAAATGGATCAGTAAACTTATCCAATTTGTTCCTTCTCATCATTTCTTTTCTTTTAGATTTTTTTGATTGAAGGTCAGTATTCATCTGTTTCGGTATGATTTCCTCAATGTTGTTTGCCCATGAACATGGGTTCCCTACTTCAGGAGTGGAACCACTGTTATTAATTCTTTCTTTTTGACCAGGACTTTCTGTCCTAGGGCAACCAATCCTTCTTTCATTTGTGAGGCTGCTGACTACAGTGTGATCAATTTGGACTTTGTTGTGAACTGCCTCTTCCCAAACATCCTCACCAACCTGTGGCTCATCAATGACTGTACACACAAAGGTATTATCATGATGGAAATGAACATCATCTGTCAGCTGGGCAATGTTGTTATCACCACATTTTGTTTTGTAAATGAGCATGCAGGACCTCACATTGCTGACATTGATCCTACCATCCCTCAGCAGAGCTGACAGAAGAGTGTCATCAGGTAAGCAGTCAATCAGCAAAACAGGGAAATGGAGCTTAATTGGATCCATCTTAGTAATCCACTTGGATTTACTTCTTTGCTCACTAACATCGACATAGAATTTGCACCTCTTGCCAGACTTCAATTCATCATCATTATAGTCACTAAGTATTTGACCAGCTGAGAGCTGTTTGTTAAATCTTGCCTTAAACTTACCACCTGCAATGCTGCTGCAAGGGCTGCCAAGGTTTGGTTCCCCTTTTATCTTACTATCATCCTCTGGATCTAGAAAGACCTTTACAAGATTGAACTTCCTATATTGCAGCCTTGAATCATCTTGAAGTGCTTCTAGGATAGGCTGACTTCCAGGTGCCATTATTTTTGTAAAGCCATCAGGCTTTGTGGAGTCAAACCTCACTTCAAAGGTCACTACTGAAAATAGAAATATGAAGCAGATGAAAAACCAAGACACCTATAGATTTTAAAGATACAGTAAACAGTACATCACCGATATTGTGATTAGAATTCAAATGACAGAACATAGAATTAGGACAGTGAACCAAAAAAATTTTCAAGCTGGATATCAGTTGTAATTAAATCATAAAAAGTTCATTCTCTTTGTGCCAGTGCTGAATACAATGTAAACTGCATAATACAACAAGTAAAAGTCCATATGTCAGAGGAATTTATGTGTGAGTAGCTATCATTTACCATTTTCTTTCAAGTACTACAGCTAGAATATTGCTTTTTTTTCAGTGTCACTCTTAGACTAGAAGCTTCAAGCTGAATTTCCCATACATACCTCTTATTTGTACCCTCTTGACTTTGAGTGAAGATGCAAAGCGTTGTTCTGCTGAGTCCGGGACTGCCCAACAATGTACCAACAATGCTGCATCTGCCTTAAGGTGATCTTCGTGCTGACTTTGACTGAAAGACACAGCATTATAATTGTGGAACTTGCATGGACATTGATGAAAATCTTGAATTTTTATGATGAAGTCGATGAAGTTAAATATAAATTTGAAGGACAGGACAAAATCCAGGATCCTAAATCCAGGACATGCTTTATTCATGTCATATATCACTCACCAGTCTCTGAGTTCTTCGTCGTCACCAATAACTGCTCCAAACAAGGTGACTGCTGGTTCTGATACTTTGCTGAGAAAAGAAGTTTTTTTTTTGTTATTGCTATCTCGATCTACATGTATCTATAGTCATTTTGCCATTATAAATGCATCAATATGCTCTCTTTCAACTTAATGGGTCTTATAGCTCCCTATTGTGGAATTTTAGTACTGAAACTGAAAGTGTTCCCCAGAGAAAAAAATTTTGCCTGCTTAGGCCACACAAATTTAATTTCTTGGTTAACGGATTTGCCGCTTCATTTTTTTCTGATTTGCAAATAAAAATAAAAATTCAGAATCAACTGCAAAATGCTCATATTTTGCCCTGAACAGTTGAAAACAGTCCTTTTCTTACTACTTGTTACGGTCATTCCATCTTTCAATGCAGTGGTACTATTAAAAGTTCAAAATTCATTGTTTAAATTTTGCACCAGCCTGGTGCGTTGACTTCATGGCTCCTATCGTACCATTTTGGGCCATAATATGCCTATAGGCCTGTTTTTATTTTTATTTTTTTTGCCCGCCCGCTCCATTATTTTTCTAGAAAAATCCGTTAACCAAGAAATTAAATTGGTGTGGCCTTATTGTTATGTTTTCAGTATCATGTAAAAACATATTTTGGTCATTCCATAAGTGTTGCTGCAATACATATATTAGAATACTAATCAATGCCTTGTATAGGGCTTTGAAAGTAAGCTTTTTTGTCCGACCTTGTCTCCGGTGACCTTGTGTCAGGTGACCTTGCTCTTGTCTCAGGTGACCTCTGCCTTGTCCTAGACAACCACTCCACTGTCCTGTTTAAATTCTTCTTTGTCGATACTTTTGATGCTCCTATAGGATGCAATTAGATAATGTCATTGAAGATGTATTAATTTTTTTACATGTTGAATTTTAATGCATGATGATTATAGTTATTACAAGAACAAATAAAAATCTTAGGGCAAATAATTTATTTGTGGATATATCATTGCTATAATTGTGGCTTAGCCTACTATTCTATTTTCAAGCATCCCATATGCATTTTATTATGTTGCTTTTACTCAGATCTAGTTTTAGATAGATGCATCTTACTTTGTCCCAGGTGTTATTGTTTGACCGAAATACACAGACTATACTAACCTTGGCTAGTGAACACTGCAGGGTCCAGATAGTCCAGCTGTGAGCAGGTTGTGTTGTACTTTAGTGGTTTGCAGTAGACAGGGTAGTCCTCACTTAGTCCCATTGGGGTGCAAGCTGATGATGGTAATAGTCATATTACATCACAGTTATTGATAAATTACAATAACTGTCACTGACAGTGATATTTGCTATTTACTATATGTGGCCTCCTGTAGTCAATATTAACCTGTCAGTGGGTAAAATGCTAATGTTCTATAACATTGCAAATAAGTCTTAAACCATCTATCAAATGTTACTCTGTATGTGTGCCCTTGCAGTAGCAAGATGTGCAGAAGTGACCTGTGGTGTTTGTTGTAAAATGCTTGGTGAGGCCAATGAGTGGCAACTGTCGGGATGGGTATCAGTGGCAAGGACAGTGCTGGAGCTGAATGGTCCAAAATGATGATACACAGCAATAATTTTTTTTTCTGTGTGTGTGAGGATACCACTCCTTCAATCCTGTAATATGTATGTTTGTCATAAATTAGATGACCTCAATGAAAAGTGGCCTGCAGGCCAAGGCATTTGAGCCTCTCTTGAATAAAAATGGTTCCGACAAACAACAAGTAATCTTACCTTTGAAACGGGCATTCCCTGTTTTTACAACTCGAAATCCTTTGGCATGGGCATGAGTCAACAGGAGATGTTGACGACAGGCATAGAAATCCTCTTCGTTGATTTCAATGTCAAGTTCACCATTGCCAGTGACAACACTAGCCTCTAAGGAAAGCAGTTCCTTGAAGAATGGCTCCATGTTCCCCAGCTTATAGTTCATCCACAGGTCACGGAGACCACTGATGTCTTGACAGGACATAACAAAAATTATGCTTCCTTTCTCCTGGCCTTTTGTCTTTGAGCCTGGTAGACGGTTGTGAGCGTTTGCTCGTTTCGACAATTCTGGCTTTGGACTCCCCTGCTTGGTGTGAATACGTATCTCTGGGTCTTCTGTAAAACGGACATAAGGACAACAATGTGAAAAGGACAACTATGACATATAATATGTTACCATGAAATATAACATGCCTGATGATAAATCCTGATTTGATAGAGTAATAGCAAATTCTTTATATGATTAAATGCAACTCAGTGACTTCTTTCAGTTTACATTCAACATTACCTTAGACTGTAGTACATTTGTGCCATTACTTATGTGATGAAAGGACACAAGTGAGCTACACCGAATCACTGTTGCAGCTCAACGAGAAGGAGCTTTAAATAATTTGATACCCAGAACATCATGGTATACTAGTAGTCAGATGAAGAAGACAGCTAGAAATCATGTGATCCCTAAATATGATGTCATTATGAAGACATACTCATTAACATTAACTAACTCTAATGGCGTTGTATGTTCTGTCTGACTGTGTTTCAGGTTTGGTAAGCATGATTTCTTACCCATTTCCTGTGGAAGGCTTCTGACATTCTTGTCTGTATTAAGGGTTGACACGCAGAAACGGCAGGTTCCATTGTGCTGAACTTGGACTGTACACTTGCGCTCTGTTGTTGTATAGCATTCTGTCCATTCATTCAGGTTGTTGCCATCAGTATAGAGGCACATCTGAATGACGTATTTGTAGGATGTTGGGCTGACATCTTTGACCTTAAGGGGTTCTAGCCATGTCAATGTGATGGACTCTCCTTTGACATCTGTGACCCTAACATTTCTTGGAGGGTATGGCTGATCTGCAAAATTTTCAGGAAAATAACAATCAGAAATTCAGACAATATTCCATAGATACATTATATTATCATTTATGGCTATTATACTGTATCTTACATTAGGTACATTGTGACCAGTGTCATTTGTTACATCTGGGAGAAAAATAAGCTAACAAGACAGCATATACCTCAGCAAATTTGTGATCTTTGACAGTCACTTTTAATTCAAATTGTTAAAAGAGGAAAAACACAGTGACTTGACTGTCTAAACATTGATCTTTCTGTGCTGGCCTCAGGGCAGGCTTGAGTGGTAAGGCTCCAAAACCCATGGGGGACTGCATATTCATACATTTGTAAATCATACTACTTTAAATTCTATCAATTATGAAAATCATATTATGATTATCATAATGTAACAGTCATGTATGTATCCTATACACTCTTTTATCCATATTTGAGAAAGCATTATCTGGCATTATTTTGAAAGTTGACAAAATGAATATGCAATTCCCTCTGTTTGCCATGGTTGCCCTTTATCAGGCTACTACTACGGTACTTGCTTTGTTGCTTTCTTTGTTGTATGTGATGACTAATATAGTATATACTACAAAATTAATGAAAAACTCAAATCTAGTTGAAGCTAGAATCAACTGAATCTAAATATAAATCCCATTTGCGTAAATGTAGTAAATAGTGCCTACATTGCTCCTTTGCCGCGATATCTTGCAGGAAACATCCCTCGCTGTAGATGGCTTTGAGATTGTTCTTGATTGCAGATTTTACACAGAAGTCATACACTTTGTAAGGTGTGACGGGTACTTCATAATCAGAGGTATCATCAGATAATGCAGGCAAATCAGGTTCCACTGATCTCCATTTGTTTTTACCAGCATCGGAACATTCCAACAGGTAGCCATACAAGTTAGAGTTTGAATCATCTGGTACAGTCCAATGCAGCTTTATACTGTAGTTTCCAGTCTCTACAGCTTCAAGTGTATCCGGAGCCTTTGGTTTCTCTGCAAGATTTTAACAATATCAGTTATTATCAAATATAATTCTATTAGTAACATGCTTACTCATGATAAAAAAACTCTTGGATGATCCTCCAAAAGTACTAATTTAAAAAGCCCTACCCAGGTGTACATTCAGTACATAACTTCCCCCATGCCAGTTCAGATGTCGGACATCTCGGTTCATGAATACCACCTTGCCATATTGTGTTGTACTCTCGAATGCTTTTTGACATCAAAATTTAAATATCCAGTCTAATAGATTTTTAGCATGTGTATTTATCGTGTGCTGCAATTTAGCCCTAGGTCTATGATGCTGTACTTCTTTCAGTATGTAAATGTAATGTATTTTATTTTCATATCATGACAGATTAATTTGTTACTGAAAGACATGAATTTAATTTTAAAGTGACTATGTCTTAGTTAGCTGTTCTGACAAATATTTACCCATTCAATTTAATAATACCCATTTAAATTAATAATTTGCGAACAACTTTTTTAACTTGTAAAAAGTATATCTTCAATGTTTAATTTTCTGGTCTGTATAACATAATTTTGATGTTTCATGCTAATTTGATCTGAGGCCACACCAATTTAATTTGTTGGTTCTCGGATTTTTTCAGAAAAAATATGAAGCGACAGGGCGAAAAAAAATAGAAATAAAAACAGGTCTAGGCATCCTATTATAGCCCCAAATGCTACAATATGAGCCATGAAGTCAACAAAAAAGGCTGGGTTAAAATGTAAAGTATAAATTTTGAACTTTTAATCAAACCACTGCATTGATAGATGTAAAAAACTGTAACAACTAGGAAGAAAAGGAATTTCCTCAACTGTTGGGGGCAAAATATGAGCATTTTTGAGTTGATTCAGAACCAGAATCTTTTTTTTTTTTGCAAATCAGAAAAAAATGAAGAGGCGAATCCGAGAACCAACAAATTGAATTGGTGTGGCCTGAAGTATGCAATATGGTATGGAATGAAATTCTTCACAAATGTATATATTATGTGCATATGGAGTACAGTGTATTTTCATCTGATAATGAGAATAATGTGGTATGTAAAATGTACTGTAAGGCCACACCAATTTAATTTCTTGGTTAACGGATTTTTCTACAAAAATAATGGAGCGGGCGGGCGAAAAAAAATAAAAATAAAAACAGGCCTAGGCTTCCTATTATGGCCCAAAATGGTACGATAGGAGCCATGAAGTCAACACACCAGGCTGGTTCAAAATTTTGACAATGAATTTTGAACTTTTAATGATACCACTGCATTGAAAGATGGAATAACTTTAACAAGAAGTATGAAAAGAACTGTTTTCAACTGTTCACGGAAAAATATGAGCATTTTGCAGTTGATTCTGAATTTTTATTTTTATTTGCAAATCAGAAAAAAATGAAGCGGCGAATCCGTTAACCAAGAAATTAAATAGGTGTGGCCTAATAGTGTAAATTATAAAATAGGCCATCAGTGGTCACTGTGACTGCTGCTCTACTTTTTGATCTGTAAATGTTAAGTAAACTTACTTTCGTCGAATACAGATGGTGGCTCAGGTTTTGGCTTGATTGAAAAGCATGACCCCATATTGATATTGCTGCAGAATCTGTAAAAATAAATAAAAGAAAACTTTTAATATGAAAAGTAATTAATAGTAAGCTATGTATTAAAAGATAATCACTTCAATTTGTTGCTAGCTTTTAAGGCATTGAAATCAGTCTGTGTATTATGTAATATATTATTCATATTTCGTTTATAATGACATTCCCCAAAGAGGCTTGAAAAATAGGGGTAAAAAGACAACTTCTGCATGTAGTCTATGTATGAAATGTATTGACCAACAGGCCGTTTGAATTAAACCGTTATTAAAGACAATGCAGGAAGATATAGAAAAGTGAATGACATGTAATACTTCAGCCATGTTTTTTCTAGGTAGCCATGTTTTTCTAGTGAACAAGTATTTATCAGATAAATAGGGAGTTAGCTGGAAACATTACTTGGTTAGGTACACACTAGTTAAGCCACAACAATCAATATGTTCTCAGATTTGTTTCTTCATTTTTTTAGGATATTAGGATCAACTCCAAAATGCTTGTCTTTTGGCCCCAAAAGTTGAAGAAAGCCCTTGTCTTCCTAAACTAAGTTGTCCATTCTGGCTAGAGTTACAACATACAAGACCCGAATTCAATATGGCTGATTATAGCTCAAGTCTTTCTTGAAGCAAATGGTCATAGATTTGTACAAATTCAAGGCCAGGCTGTGAGAATCGAAAGATTTAATTGCTCGTCAGGTGTTCTTTACTGAAGTAAGTTGCAATTAATTTAAAAAGAAACAGCACAAACCTTTTCCTGAGTCAAAAATCGCCACAAACGTTCCTTTTTACAGCTCGTCGTCCATGAGAAAATGGCTGCCACCCGCGTGACTTGCCGCTTAACAGTTTTGTTGATGTAGTAATCCGCACTCTGAATTTTTCAAAAGTTGGTATGTAACTTTTACTTAAAATTGTACTTAACCACGCCAACCTCCAATATCTCTCCACTGTGGGCATTGTCCATGTAATGGGGCAAATAGCTGTGAATTGTTTGTCAAACTATGGCACTACTTACAAACAGGTGCGGAAGTACACAATGTTAGATTCCCTCCTAGTACGCACGTCACAATTCCTTCACGCATGCGTGGCGTGTAGTCATGTGACCAGAAGTCACAGCAGACATCATTGTAACGTCAGTTGCATATCGCTTTTTGTATAAAGGTCGTAACTGCGGCACTCTGAAAAGTGTGCGTCTCCGTCAGGACTACAACGTCTTGCCAAACTACCTGTGTGGGTCTTTGTGGGCTCAGGTAACAAGACTTTGTTTCTTGTTTACATTCTTTTCAAAGCAAGAACCTGAACTGGTCGTCTCCATTTCAGTCCCCTTGGGAACAAATGAGGTTGAACAATCAACCATGGGAGCATTCAAATAATTGTATTGGTCATACAAGAAGACATTTGACAGGCATTAAAGACATTTTCAAAGTTGCGTGGAACTAATGCATTAAGCAGCGGACAGAAGATGAAGAATATTATGACATTTAAGTTTTGTATCTCCAACAGACATGGACTTAAGCAGCCTCCTAACCCAGGGTTTGTCCAGCTCAACAGACCCAACCCACCTCCATGCGGAGCTGTGGGCTGACTTCATGTCAAAGGTTATGTCTGCCTGGCTGCCTCTGGTCATGGCGTCAGTAGTGGTAGGGAGAGAGTTGTTCGGTGAGGATCCAATTTTTTTTTAAAGAATTCCATACCTTTTAATCTGCTGATGCAAAATTTTGCTTGAAAAGAAAGTTTTCTAAAAACAGAAAGCATTCTAAAACAGAACATTTTTTGCTTCAAAAAAGGTTTATTTTATTTTATACACAGCTGACATATATTTAAGTGGGTGGGTGTAAGCTGAGTCAATGATATGCCTAGGGGATTTGTATCATGAATCGTATATTATAACTCTAGCTCAGCAGTGTTATTATATGTTATAGAAGAGATTTCATCCACCAATTAGACTCAAACACAATTTTCTATTATAGAAGAGCTTTATTGCACGACAATTGCACATGGTACAATGTATGGCAAACTACATAAAGAGAGTAACAACAATAAAATAAGTGTTGAATAAGACCTAATGTCGAATAAAACCTAACATATCTGTATCATGATTATTCAAATAATAAGGGATAGCACAAGTATATAATAGTTTACAGATATGAGCAGTATCGATATGTTAATTTTATTTCAATGTCCTACAACTCTGAAACATGCAGTACAAACTTGTAATCTTTCTCCTTATCATACATTAATTTGTATATCACTTAGGTTCGGGTACAAAGTGCTTCCCCATAGATCTGACAGACTCCCAGCCTGGTACAAACGGGACGTTGGAATCTAACATCAGCCACACACCTAAACCTGTCATCAATGAGATATCAGACTACTCCAGGCAACTAGCAGAGTACGTGGACATTTACTGTGCGAAACAGGATCGTTACGAGAGTTCCACATTGTTCAATTACCAACTCTTTACCATGATGCTTGTTATTCAGGCAGCTGTACTTTATGGCCCCGTGTTGTTATGGAACATCAAGCCAGCCAGAAAGGTCCTCTGTCACCTTAGATTTCTAATACATAACATAGATCTGTTATACCAGGGTCTTAAAGAGGGTGTTGATTCATCCACAAAGAGTGAAAAGCAAAAAGACCTGAAATATAACATTGGTATCTGGCAAAATTCTTGCTCATTGTATATCTATTACTTGTTAAAGCAATTCACTACTGTAGTGCTGTCAATCACTTTCATTACAGTTTACAGCACAATTCCATCTTTATCCATGTCTAACATACATGATGAGTTTTTGTGTTCTGTCAAAGAGAAGTTTACAGTGGATTGTGCTGTGCCTTCAGCAATGGTCCATAGATGTGTTTGGGGGGCTAATCTAGCACTGCTTTGTCTTATTGCTATCTCTGTTATAAGTCACATTGGTAGTCTTCTGTGTGATTGCTGTTATGGTAGTCATAAACCGTTTAGAGAACTAGGCATCTTAGTCAATCTGCCAGCATACGATGCCCACCTCATATATGTGTTTCTTAAAGCCAACATTGAGTCCGTTGAAAAGTACAACTATGTGAGACAACTTAAAGAAGTTAAATCAGGGGATCCACCTCCAGCAAACACACAAGTTACCACACCTAACCCAATACATCGAGCACTAGACCTAATCCAGGCTCACCTTTGCTGTTGTCGATGTTGTGATACAGAGGAGGCGCCTAACCCATCAGGCACAGCAAGTGCTGCATCTAACCCATCAGGCACATCAATTGCTCCTACAGGTAACCCAACAAACTTGACAAACACACCAGGATCTGACCCAAATTCAAGCCCATATTTGGCAGAAACAACAGTGTGATACATGGATAATAAGCATTTTGATGACTTTGATCTGTTTGTATAGCCGTTAAAACCGCCCTTTGGTGTAACACGCCAGCTTCGCAGGCACGCAGCAGCAGCTGGCTACATTACACCAGACGACCTGTTACCTTGATGTCATATAATGCTGCTAAACCTGGTGCAATGACCTTATATTATAGAGTGCTTTCATTCCATTTGGTATGTGTTCAATTTAAGTTGTATGAGAGAGTTTTATTATTGGATAATTGCTTTCTCAGAGTCTGCATAGCACTCAGGAAATTTGCCTATTAGTAAGTTAATTACATTAATATCAAATGTCATACATGGACTGCATTAATGTTTGATACAGGTGTTCTGGCCCATGTCTTAACTACCGGATGGCCTGGGGTTCTATTTTATTATCACACGGGCTTCTTGTAATTCCGTACATTGCTTTTTCAATGATGTTTTGTACCTTTCAATTATTTTGGGGTCAAACCTTTATTTAGCAGTTTCAAATTTAAGTTGAAAATGTTGATACAAATGTATGATTGTGGACACCTAGTGAAATAGTCTTAGAGACTAATTTTGGCAGTTGTAATGTTTGGTAATGCTTCCATGTATCTCATTAATTCTTTGATTCTTTAGAGAGTATGATCAATTTCCACACAGTGTGATGAATCACTAGAAGCTAATGATAGATGTAAGTATGATAAGTACATGTATATAGTGTACCTTAAAGAGTTGTTTCTCGGGATCCTGTTTTACTTAATGAATATAGCAAATTGAATGAATTCAATTTTTTTGCCGGGCCAGCAAAGCTGCTAAATGCTCTTAAGATTGATTGTTTTATTGATGTGTGACTTTCTCTGTTTGTGTATAGATTAATTTTTTTTCTCGGATCTCATTGTAAAACAGACACAAAGTGGCTCACCCTTGTTAAACAAACAGAAATAGATATTATCAATCAATAAATTCTCATCATAATCTGTCAGTCCCTATCAAAAGCTGCATGGTGATTGGCATTAAGTTGTTCAGTTTTCATATAGAATTACAGTCCATGAACAGTGCACACGTTTTGTTTAAACTGCATGTTCCACTGCTGCAGGATCTAGGTGATTTTTACACTGTCAGTTATTCACAAAAACTGAAAAGCTCTTAGTCTAAAAACAACAAAAACTAATAACAGATACAGTTGCTGTGATGTGCACTGTATAGTTTATTACATTGACGTCCAACAAAAGTGAACAATAATGTTGAACATACATTTTTGTACAGGTCTACATGCATATGTACAGTGAAGCATTAAAAAATGCACCATGAACAAAACCTACCCTCAGTTTAATCATTTTCATGCTAACTTCATGATATCATTAAGAAAAGTACTATGTAACAATTGATATATATCATATATAACAGGCTGGATGACTAACTTTATCAATGACACACATTAAATGTGAACATGGAGGGGGGAGAGTTTGGGTATGTCAGTGTGAAATGCCCAGAGAATGATAAATACTTGTAAGCACCAGGGCAAAGAATCTGCTGACTCCCTAACTGGGAGGAGTCATTCTATTGCAACTCACATATTAAACAGTCCTATCAAAAATCATTTTTACTAGAGGAAGTTTGTTGTCAGCTCATAGCAGAAAATAGGGTTACAGTACATCCTTTGAAAAAAAAAACATTAGAAAACTTAATGCACTGACAAAGAGTCTTTCTAGACTAATACCATGAACATTTCAGTACCAAGGACAGAATCACTGCTCTGTCAAGAATTTTTCACTACTTTATATGCTATAATCATGAGAACAGCAGTTCATTCAAGAAAAAAATAACTTCAGCCAAGAAAAGAACCAGACTGATGAAAGTTTAGCTTTAGAAAACACTGCCTAGTATGGAATCATCAGATCATGTGGGAATTTATGATAACAATTTCAGTGCTGAGTCACATCAGCACTTGCACCACATTTCAAAAGCCACCGCATACAAATGTAGCTTCTCCTCTACACAACATGTAATATCAACTGCCAAACTATTATTGAATTTATTGAAATGGCACAGTACAAAAGCAGATATAAGAGGTTTATATAGTAAATTATCAATATAGATGAAAGCTTGATGAATAAATTCAGCAACATTTGTTGAGGTTTATATCATGGAATAGAGCAGAAATTATGTCCAAAGATTTTTTTACAAAGCTATAGAAAGTTCATGAGTCTAAAACAAGTATTCGGGTACATGTAGTCAAACAAAAGTTGCTGTACATGTACCCATGTCAGGAAAATCAAAATGTGCCTCAGACACCACACAAGCCCAGCAAGATGGCACCTTGCCTTTTAGTAACTTTATACCTACTGTTACATAATACAGGGCATAGACCAATAACCGCTTTTATGGTGAAGCCAAACATACTTTCCAAGTTGACAATTATGAGGCTTGTTTTGACTCAATTTCTCTATCTTGACACAATATCATGAGCACATATGAGCCCTGTCCTTGGTGCTGAACATTCACACAAAAAACCTTTTTCTGCTGAGTTCTTTCAGGAGAAAATCAGATAAGGAAGGGATGATGAACCTCAGGCTGTCAAAAATAGCAGATATTTTCCTGCTGAATTCTTCAAGTAGAAAATAGAATACAGATAAGGAAGGGATAGAAGTTCTGTCCTCGGAGGCGAGCATTACAATGCAAGCAGCAAGACTGTTACTGCTGAGTTCTCATTCAACGAGAAAACAGAAATTTAGATAAGGAAGGGATAGAAGTGCACTAGCACTGCAAGCATTTCTGAGCTGACAATTAAGAGGATTATGTACTTAATGAGGATTATGGAGAAAATTATTACATATTGCAGAACTCTATAATTGTTACACGAAGAGGGTAGTTAGACCAGGACTTTCTCATCTGACCATTTACAATTCTAACAAAAACAGGAGGTAAAGAAGGTCATTCAAGTTTCAAGGAAAGCCTTGCACAAAATTCTAGGCTAGTATAATCAAGAAAGCACAGAGATGCATGGATCAGTGCACATGTAAGCACACAACATCGGTAGATTCTGAAGTACCACTGCGAGTTCTGTGATGCTCAGGCATCCAAAGACTGCCTCATGAACAGACTTGTCTCTTAGTTTATACAAAGTATATTACAATAATGTTTTTAAGAAGAAGATTATATATTCATACACTCTACCTTTCACACTACTTTAGTTAAGGAAATATTGATGAACATTTATCAATATTATTTGCATGGAAAAGGCATGCACACTCTGTTGATGACACCTAGTGTACCGTTTCTTACACCATTTCTGCACATCACAAAAACATAATTTACAAGTAGTATAGTTTCTTGACCTAATTTCTGGAAGACACAGAAAGGTTATGATTATCATAATAGAGGATTATTTTAGTTTTTAGAGGAAAATGAATTACATAGACTAGACAAATTTGTTGGGATTGGGGAGATAGAATTACATGTTATTGATGATTCAAGAAATGCAAAGTCATTGTGCCTAGTTCATTATTAGATTTTACCCATAGAACAGATAAAGACTAAGCTGGAATGCATTCTTGCATACGCAGGTCATCTACAATTTTATGGATGAGTCAATAGAGGGACCTGGCAGACTTTTTTTGCCATATTTCCCCATCTTTCTAGATCTAAAATGTCTTTAGGAACCTGTTATGTCTGCCTCTAGCCTGTTTTGAAATAAATCTTGATTATTTATATGCAAAGAACAAACAATACACAATATACACTTTAGGTACCCTTAATTGTTCTTAGGCCACACCAATTTAATTTCTTGGTTAACGGATTCACCCACTTCATTTTTTTCTGATTTGCAAATAAAAATAAAAATTCAGAGTCAACACCAAAATGCTCATATTTTGCCCTGAACAGTTGAAAACAGTCCTTTTCTTCCTAGTTGTTACAATTATTCCATCTTTCAATGCAATGGTATCATTAAAAGTTCAAAATTCATTGTTTAAATTTTGAACCAGCCTGGTGTGTTGACTTCATGGCTCCTATTGTACCATTTTGGGCCATAACAGGATGCCCAGGCCTGTTTTTATTTTTTTTTTTTCGCCCGCCCGCTCCATTATTTTTCTAGAAAAATCCATTAACCAAGAAACTAAATTGGTGTGGCCTTACCTCAGCATAAAATATCAACAAAGTCTTCCACTCTAACTATATATATGCAGCATGATTTAAATTTTAGATTTTCTTCAAAGATGATATACACATATCACCCCTTCAACACTGTATGTAGTAACAGGGTCGGTTGGTACGACCTGTCTTTGGAAAACTTCCCAAACCTGTTCCACCTTTTCTCTTCCACATCATAACCAAGCGTCATACTCCTGTCTACATAGTACAGTACATGGACACCATATCTTGTACCACCTGCTATACACATACAGGGCGACGTACACGAGCTGATATGGACCCACTGGCCAGTCCGTATATTCAACATCATCATCCAACCCTCATGTTCAACAAAGAAATACATCCTCTCACGATAACCTACGATTGAAACCGGAATCTCAAAACTTTCTGGAATCTTCAACCCAAAGTCTATCCACGTGTCACATTCAGAATCATAGTAAAACAGTTTGTGCTGGTTTTCCGTAGTCGCTCCCATAACAAAGACATAGTCCATGCATGTTGTGACAGAGTACATGGTGAAATCCAGTGGTAAGGAGTCAACAAATTCCCAGTAGTCTCCCGTAGGGTTGTATCTCTCAACCAAGTGGAGACATTGCGACTCAGAGTCCATCCCACCCATAGCATAAACCCACCCTTCCACGCCAGCCATGTAGTGGTGTTGCCTCTCCTGCTGTAGGGAGGCAATGTCTCGCCATGTTATGTGTTCGTATTGAGATTGTAGACCTGTGCCTTAGGCAGATCAGGACCTTCACCCATGCAAGGGTGGTAATGCATTCCTCCTACCACATACACACAGCTGCCAAGGCTAGCTGACCCAAAGGCCTCCCGGCTTCGGCGTCCTTTAGGCAGGGAGGTGATCATGGCCCATGTCTTAGTCTTCTCGGTGTACAGGTAAAAATCACAGGCTGCTGCGATCAGCTTTCTCTCAGGAAGGGTCTTCAGTAGTGCTGTGTGGGAGATGTAAAATGAAGGAAAACTAAATTAAAAATATGCTACACCTAATGGACCTATACCATTATTTCGTCACAGTTTGTTTACCTGTTCTAAAGAACATTCTAGAACGGTCAGTTAAAGAATAAAGATCATTTCAAAGTAAGGTATGTCTGATTTTTGCTGCGTCTAGTTGTGTTGACACAGCATTACATGCTGCATGGGTGATTTAGTTGTGACATTAGACGAAAGTAGTACTGTATTAAAAGCCTTATATTAGGCTAACGCTACACAAACACACACCGCGCTACGCACCCCTGTACAATATAAACGTCGATTGACCGGCATTCATAGCGGTAAACAAACTGTGACGTAATAATGGTATAGGTCCATTGTATAAGTGAAGAGCTTGTAAGGCAATACTTCAAATGCATATACATTACAAAGCAATGCAGGAAGAAAAGTAAGTACAACTTTTGGTGACACATATGAAGATATTTTCTATGTCCTACCTGGGCCGCGATTACGTTCGATACGGGTGTTCCGGCCCGTGTGATAACTAGCGGTACAGCCCGGGGGTTCTTTACGCGTACGGCCCGGGGCTTCCAAATGTTCCGTGGAACGATTCGAACGCGTTTCGGCCTAACCGCGTGCACCGATTTCGAAATTCGAATACAAAATTCGGACGTTGGAATTGATGTTGTGGCATTTTTTGGGTTTAGGGACACCAAATTTTCACTCATTTCGCATTGAAAGGCGCGTTTTCTTGGGTGGGTATGACATAAATAAAATACAACACGGTGTATTCCGCATCACCCTCGGTCCCAGCCCTCCCGCGGATCGGATCGCCCTCCGGCCTTCGGGCGATCCGACGCGCGGTCGGGCTGGTACCTCGGGCGATACGGAATACACCGTGTTGTATTCTATATTAACGTTACATAGTTATATAGTCTTTCAAAGCTTTACTTCTCTTACGTTAACCGTACATATTTATCGTAACTTTTGTTTGTCTAAATGAACAAGTACTTGCCAGTAGTAGCTAGTGGAACAATATTTCTGAGAATACCTTTTACAAATGTAGTCAGTACAATTATGCTGTTTGCTCAACCCTTTTAAGAACTGTTTTAAGAAGTGTTTTAGCACAGCAATGTGTAAATACCTACCCACCTAAATCCTGAGTAGACAGGCCTAATCTCTCCACCTCTTTAACCTTAGAGTCTCTGACATCTTCCAGTATCTTCATTCTCAGATCTGTCATGTTAAGGTCTTCACACAGCCCTAGAATGCCTGCACAGTTCTCCAAGTTTGATTCACAGTACAGAAATTCAGCACACAAGTCTAACACCTCTGGCACTTGAAGAAAGTTGGCAGTCACCATGACATCTTGTACTGTCTCAAGACACAGCTCAAGCTCTGTGGTGTAGATAAAGTGCAGGATTTTTGCAAAACTGTCTGAAGAAATTCCTTGCAACGTAATCATGTCATCACGTCCTGTAGTCCACAAGTAAAGAAGGAATAGAAGTACGGGCAACAACAGGCAAGCACGGCTTGGTGTGAGAAAAATGTCTTCCCCTCCACGCAAACTGCTACGTCACAGAACCTTTGAAATGTCTGGAAGATATAAAAGTTTGGGTACAAGACTTCTTGTAACATCTTAGACAATGGAACTTCTTCTGGGTCAAACTTGGCATTGAGTTTCTTGCATATGCTCTCAATACTCAGGCAGTACTCTTACTGTTTTCAGTTCCATATACATGGCTCAGAAAGGCATCTAGTTCCTGTTTTGTCACACGTTCTGTAACATCAAGTGATGTCACCTTCTCAGCTCCAGTCTTGGTTTTGGCTGACAGTTTGTTGTAGAACACATTACTGACAGTTGCTAGTACAACAGAGTGTGCCTGTACTGTCTCAGTTCCAACTCTAATCTCCACATCAGTGAGACAATTCTCCTGATATAGGCTAGACAGGACAGGCTGCATGTTTTGGAAGAACCTAGTTTTCTCCTTTTCTGTAGTGGACCACAGAATGTCTCAGAGCTCTCCTTAGCAGCCATGGTGATGCCTGTAGGGATTCAGAGAGAGAGAGAGAGATGAGTAAGATTAATGTCAAGTCAGTTAAAACAAAACAAATCGAAATGATTACAGACAGTTAATGATACACACCAACACAACACATGCCTAGCGCAAGGGGGGGCTTCAGACTGCCAAACCAAGAACAGCCTCAGCCAAATGAACATTTCTGTACCGTTGCACTAAATCATATAATGCACTTCCACAACACATCAGACTATCTGCACCTACATCGTTTAAGAATCACATCCGGGAATGGTTGAAAACTGTGGCAGACACCTCCAAACCCTTACAAGCTTGGTGGTAGTAGAAATGTCGACAAAGTGTAAATATGAATGTTTTTAATTTTATAATAGACCTCTGACCTCTCGGTACAATTTGCATGTTGTGTGTGTTTACGTAGTTGTAGTTATATATAAGCATTACCATGTTGTTACGATAGTAGTATGTAGTTAAACGACTCCAGGAAGAATAGTATGTATGGCAACTCATGTCTGTACAAACTAATGGAGATCGGTCTAATAAACAATAAACAAACAAAACAGATTTCTCACAACATCTGATGGTAAACATGTATAATATCCATTATTTCCACATGTTACACTACATAAGAATATACAATTTGGCATCACTAGCGATATAGTATTTGCATATCTAGTAATATGCTTAGATACTGCTTTAGATTTATCTTATGTGTACCCAAAGCAGTGCCAGCAAGATTCTGGTTAATCAGATTAGCCTGTATTTCATGTTTGTAGGCCAAACGAAAACCAACAGCCAGTATTTTGCAAACGACGCAATTTTGATGATTCCGCAAAACGCTTGTTATAAATAGATACAAACCATTTTGAAGCTCTTTTGGACGCCTAGAAGATGACACACATGGACATTAGACTCACCTACTTCTGATCATTTGAAAATGAATCGAAACTAGGTTCGAAGAAATAACGGCAAAGTTCGAATTCGAGAACTGAAACGCACTTCTATCGAACACGCCCCCCTCCCCACTTTTGTAGTCTGCTCTTACACTGAAAATATCACGGTATTTATCACGATTTATCGGGCAAATAGCACCAAAACGCAAACAGACGAACTGAATATTGCCCTAGGTACCGTAACGATAACGTTTATCATCTAAGATACCTTTCAAACGTTGATAGAGACCAGGTAATCCTTACTACACATCGGTGATCAGCTGTTGCGATCCGATCAGGAATTCTCGTCCGGAACTGAATGTTTTCGCAGAGCTCTCAGCCGCGGCCGGAGTACAGCGGCGATATGTGTCGAATGGTGATGTCCTTGGTGCTGAAATAGTCCTACTGGACAAATATATACACTGTACGGTTTGCCAGACATGTATCCGCGTTTAGCGTGGCGTCCAAGTGGTGCTCCGAGCCTCGGTAGAGCTTTCAACCGCAACCGTACAGCAGTGGTGCGTCAACTGGCGATGTCCTTTGTGCTGAAATGGGGGGTCCCTAGTACATCGTTGATATATAGTTCCGTGAACATGTTCACTTTTCTCAGACCGTGAACCGTGAACATAAAGTAAATTACAGTATACGGTTTGCCAAACATGTATCCACGTTTAACATGGAGTCCAAGTTTAACGTTACATGTTAGTTGAATTTTGTTTTGTGGCGTTGTTAAAATACGTTTTTAACTTGTTAACGGTTAAAACTTGCAGTACCGATACTGGCTGCAAGATGGAGTAGCTAATAATTCCAGAGAGAATATATGTTTACTTATATATCATGTTAGGCTTTGAGACACTATGGAAGAGAACTTTTTACCATTAGCATAAACAAGTATCGGTATATCTTATTGTTTATCAACCTGGGACCGCGGTGCCTTTGCCAGTATTGACGGTGAAACTTTGAAACTTTATTAGAATAACCATTAGCGGTGGACCCTAGGGTCCACCGCTAGTCTTCCTGGTATTCATACATACAGACATTATACAAACATAGTTGACAACTGAACAAGTCACAAAACACATCTAAATCAATTTTTAACATATTTACAATATACATCATTTAAAAAACTGACAATCCTGTCGAACAGTGCTTGTGACCTACTGATGGAGGTATTTGTGCAAACCGTCCTTAAACACTCTCAGGGATTGTGTGGACTGCATAACTATTGGAAGGTTATTCCACACACTAACAGCCCTGTACATGAAACACTTCATCAGTGCGTTATTTCTAGGTTTGTCTAACAGAAAAGACTGTTTAGCAGCAAAACGGGTTCTATAGCTATGCAAGTTGTTGACAGAACGCAGTTGCCTACTGATACAAATAGGTTCGTTAGTGAGTGTTATCCTTTTAAATGTTGTCATGGTGTTTATTAACAATCTCGTGTGCACAGGTTTCCACTGTGGCTTCGACTGAAACAGACGAGTTGCCTTGTTCTGCATTCGTTGTAGAAGGTTTATGTTAGTTTTAGTTGTGCATGACCAAACTGGGCCGTGGAAGGCCGTAGTGGTGTGTTGCATTAACTAGCGTACAATGTTGATCGATTCTGTGCTTAGAGCAGTACAGTCACAAAGCAGGGGACAATGTAAAGAAGTTGGAATGTATCTGGATCTGATACATGATAGAGACAATACATATAGTATTGTCTATCTCACTATCTCCTTTTCTGAAGATGGGGTTCAAGCGACACCAACTGACCATGTCGACGTCGTCCACCCGGCCTCGACCTTTTGGCCTTGCGTTTAGTACGTTTGTTTCGTGAGCTGGTGGCTTGGGTTCGGCGCGAGTTCGATTCCCGGGAGACTTGCTACTCGCCCCTAGTTGTTTCAATCGGTTAGAATTCAGGGACAAGTTGAAAACCCAGGCTGGAGTTCAGTTAAGTTTAAGTGAAGTTGAGACAAATTTGAAGACGTTACAATATACTATATAGCCAGGGCGCACTTACACTAGCCTGGGTGCCATCCCCAGTAGTATATTCGCCAGCTCTATAAGTTATAGAGCTGGCGAATATACTACTGGGGATGGCACCCAGGCTACACTTACACAGGCCCAGATGTTCGTCTGCAAAAATCAACCCACGCTGAGCCTTGACCCAGTGAACCTAAGCAAATAGTAAAACAATGGGGTTGATTTTGGCAGTTATTTTTAGTGTTCTAATGTCTTGTGACTGGCCATAGTCCAATGCAACGATCAATAAACACGATGTTGTGCACCAATTTGTATCTTTTAGAATGCTAGCGAAAACCGACTGAGGCTGAAGTGCGATGTCACAATGTGATTCGTAAGTTCAAATTAAGTCATAATTTTAAGAAATGCACGACCTACAAGTCATTGTGATGCTGTCGGAACTTTAGGGCAATAGTGGCTTTAACAAATTGAAAAATCCAATGTAGGTTTGCTTGCCGGACTAATGATAAGTCACCCACTTACTTGCTTCAAATATTTTGCTTATTTGCATTGTTATCATTAAACTCTGATCATACCATGGCATATATATATATAACGTTATATAGACAAACTCATGGTGTATAGACAGACGCTATCGCATAATGTTATATGTTTGAGTTTACTTGTCGTGTAATTAAGGTGAGAATTTATGTGGTGGATGGATGAAGAGATTACTGCCTGCGTTTTATATATTACATGATCCTTAATTCCTAACATTGAGATTTCGTTTTGAGGCTCATCATGATGGACAATCATGCTTACTTGGGTATGTGCTATGCATTTCCAGATTTCACCAAACATGAAAAGCGTGATACTCCGCTCGCTGGGCCTATTGCTGATCTGGCAAGATTTGGAAGTCAGCAGCACATGCCCAACAAACTGTAGCTGTTTTACATCGTTCAGCTACGTGGCCTGCGCCGGACAAACCTACAGCACCATTCCAGACAACATACCCACCGACACGGAAACTCTGAAACTCGTGCACAACGAACTAGTCGAGCTTGATCTGCCTGCACTGTACCCCTTGACCGGCCTTAAAGTGTTAGATGTGAGAGGAAATGGCATCATAGCCATACACGGCTCCTTTGAAAATTTCCCTTTTCTTCGAGAGGTCTACTTGGGGCAAAACAATCTCTCTACCATTTCACCTGAAACCTTTGGCAACATATTTCAACAGTTAAAGTACATAGATTTGACCGGAAATCCTTTCAATTGCCAATGCATTAGCCCATATAAATGCTTTAAAAACGACACAACCTCCGAGTCAGAGTGTGATATCCTGTGGCTTCAGAGACAGGTTCACAAGAACCCGGACCGTGTCGGTAGAAAGGTTCTCTGTCAAAGTCCTGATGACCTCCGCGGTCAGTTCTTGGACTACGTGAACATTTCCGAGCCCAAATGCAATGATGGAAATACCGACAAGGTTTACTCCAGAACCCTCGATTTAAATTTATTGTCTACAACAGCGTATACAGTTTATGCAGTTGTAGCTGCTGTTATTGTCCTTGTGACATTTGTCCATAACACACGTAACTGGGCTACCAGGCATAGGCGAAAATGTCAGTCTCCGCTCGACGACCTAAGCAGCCGGGTCGACGATGCAAACAGAACCGACGTTGATATGGATGAAATGTCTCCTGAGATCAGCGGGCCAGCATACGACAGAAATGCCGGTAAAGAACATTCAGTTTGCTGAAACTTCAATTAATTGATGCTCATGTCGCACTAACAATTGCAAACGCATAATAAGTGAATTACTGTGATCATGTACTCCAACCAAACATTCAAACTAAGGATAAGAACAAATTACTCAAATTTTTAATACATTAATTTCCTTTATAAATGATTGAACATTTGAGTTATGAGTTTTGAGTTATTTGAATGCGATAGAAATGAAGAACCTCTAAGAAGTAGATGGAGTAAGACATCATCGGAAAGATCATTGAAGTTAATGACAAATCCTACCAGTTTTTCTAACTGAATCATTTACATTGCAATCTTTGAAAACATGAGGGATCAGTTGATAAACGGTAGCTTTCATCAGCCCTATTTTGTTAAAAGGACTGATCGACAAAAGCTAGCCATACGAAGTTGTGTGGTGTATTATCAATGTTTCTATTTATTCTCTTTACATCCAGATCGCGCTGAGCAGCACACAGATGACGACAATGAGACTAAATTAACCCCTGTTGTACAACCTACTTCAGCCAGGAAGACAACACGACCACGATGCGGCCACTAGACCCGAAAACACAGTTATCACTGACCCAGGGACTAGAGAGGGAGTTGAAAACCATAAAAGGCAACCTCGTCGCTATCGAACAACCTCAATAAATTCTTCATTTGTGTGTGACATAAATTCATAAAATGGGATCATTGAATTCATTCCTCAGAGAAGGATAAGACTGTTTATATTTATATGTTTATATTTTCCCAATTTAAATAACATCCACTTGTTCGGCTGTAAATAGTTGCCACTTTTGATTGTGTATATAAAACTCAATAGTACATGAATCTTTGGATACGAAGCCAAGCCAAGAGAGAGAGTAGATGAATATCATATATTGTATATTTCATTTATCAGGCATCCTAAATATGTTGAGGATTTATTGATAGAAATGGCTCTTCCAGTCATACAAAACGCCCAGTGAGGAGAAGGTTTAAAATGCCCAAATATGAACATCATAAGGAAGAGATGCATTGTAAACCTACGCAATAGAGTCGCTGTAGTACTACGGTTGTTACTATAGAGGTGGGTAGCGGTTGATGGGTTAAGTTAACAGTGACAATATTAGCAAGCTCAAACCGTTGTGCTCTGTACGTAGAAAAGACTGGTGGGAAAGTTAAGTAAAGCGCAAAATCGGATACTGTGCTATCGACATCCTACGCAATACGTCACATCCGAAAAAGTTTAGATTGTATTCCGTGGCAGTTCTTTAGAATAGTCACTTGTTCCACTTGTCAACATTGTCTGTTTACTGTTTTTGTATACAGTGGTTCGTGTGGCAATTAGCCCTCGAGCAATGACTTGCTAATAAACCTTATTATATAAAGGTTAATCCGTGCATCTATTCGTCTTGTGCTTTGGCGTTCTAATTAGGAAACAAAATAATGTCATGCTGTTGATGTCAGAGCCAGTGGGGTAGGGTTGGTCCAATGATAGGTCCGAACGTAAGACCTCAGCTTTCCAGAGAGAGAAATATCTCACGCTCGTGTTTGCTTCATTTTAATTCGCTAAAAACACAGCAAACTAGGCACGAACCATCGTATCGCCTTTTGGCCTTCTGTGTTACAAAGGGTCAAGGTTGAACGCGCTTGTGTGCTCGGCGAGTCGGCGTATTGACAGGACGCACTCTAAGCTCTGAGGCATTCCTGGCTATCCTGGGCTTATTCGCAAACGTCCCGTTGACTTAGCTGAAGGTAAGTTCTGATGCATTAAACCCTCGCTTCGGCATGGAATTATGGTAGATATATATGTTGCTCAATGTCTGAATGAGTGTGGAGAATACTTGGAAAGCACCGTGTCCACAGTATGTCGTCCGGTTCTTTGCATTAGCATTGTAAATCTATACGGGGTCATAACATTACGAATAGAATGCACGGTCGATAGATCTGTAGATACAGCCGAATACAATGTTATCTTTTCATAACTTGCGTCAGACAAACAACAGTATCGACATGTCTGACCCAAAAACGTGAAGGAATTCTGGAGGATTGTGACCAAGATGCACAATCATTAAAATTTATCTCTTAAGTTAAACCGTGTTAAGTATGAAAGAGCTGACAGAGATATGTGCGAAATTGTAGACTATATATATCTGCACTATACAATTTGTATAATACAATACAAAAAAAGAAGGCTACAATTGCAACCTCACCCTTTGAGGGAATCATTTATTTTACCATCAAATGATAATTGTGTTTGTCATAATCAATTGTAATTGTTATAATTTGTATACTTTTTATAGTTTTTTCTCTGTTTTGGGAAGCCCCCCCCCCAATAAAAACTACAATGTTGCTGGCCTTCCCTGTTTTTCTAGTGTTGTTCCTAAATGATCTTTTTTCATGTGTCAAATAATTAACAATCGTAATAATAAAGAGCTCACATTTTACTTTTAACCCCCTTCCTAGCTCCATGCCTTCGCAATGCGCAAGAAGATTGGATTCGCTGCCATCCTGTGGCTGTGCCTTCTCCTTCCTGTAGTCTGTTCACCTGTACCGACAACAACGTCTTCCACCTCACTCACGCGTTGTCCCAGGAACTGTACGTGCGAAGACATCGCAGGAGGAGCCGTTGTCGACTGTAAGGGACAGAATCTTACAGCATTGCCAACAGGACTGCCTTTAAACACGACCTACTTGAACGTCGCCTACAATTCCTTGACGAAACTCAAACTGACACATTTGTACAACTTGACAAAGCTTGAGGGATTGAGTGTGTCTAATAATGACATCTCTGTTATAAAGGGATCCTTAAAATACTTTAGTAATCTCAATCAGGTTGACATGTCGACGAATATGATACAAACTGTCAAGGAGACAGTTTTTGGCAACTTACTTCAGAAATTAAGGTTGGCAGAGATGTCTGATAACCCTTTAAATTGTGACTGTCATCTTAAGTGGCTTCGGGAGGCTGTGAATAACACAGAGCTCCTGGGAAACAATGTTTATTGTGCAAACCCTCCCCATCTCAGTGGTAAACGGTTTCTTGATGTTCCTTCAGCGGATTTTAAGTGTAATTATTACGATGACCTATTTATCTAAAATTCTTTAAAAAATAAAGTTAATGCTTTAAACATTCTATAAGTTCGTCAACCACACAAAATGAATTTTTGGAATAAAGCGGCTTTATTTGTTTGCATAATGTCTTGATATTGTTACTTACACTATTACATTATTACTCTAATTGCATTGGTGTTATAATTGTGATCGTTGGTTGGCATTGAATTGTTCAGAAACATAGTAAAAAGGTACTTTTGAATATCATGAAGTAAACAACGCTAAGAAACACACATACGTGCAAATTAAAGATAAATGAGATAAGGCTTCGTTTACTAACTTCAAAGCGAGAGCATTAGTTCACCAACTGATATCATCACATATCTTGATACATTTCGTACTATTCAAATATTTTGACGCAAAGACAAACTAAGCACCATTAGTGGCAATCATCTGTAAAAAGCAAATATCTCTCTTATGAAAAACAAGATCGTATCTCACCATTGAAATTACACTTAACAGTTGCGCGTTAAACCTGCTAGGCAATATGTTGCCTAATAATTGACAATGTAAATAGCCGCTGCTGCATATTTACGTTGCCACAGTAAAAGCTTAGAGTCGCCTTGGGTTACGCGATCATATATTAGATATGTGAAGGTGGCAGTTTGTACATGGCAGTGTTGTAACTTGTATTTTCATCCAAGTTGGCATGTCATTCATGTCACTTATTTCTTATACAACTTTTACCAAATATCTCTTTTGAAACATTTTCGACATAGCCGATTGAATTCGGTTGTAGTCTCATTGCTTTTTCTTGGCTGGTAACATTGGAACATTTCACCTTCTATGAAAAGACAAACTGAGAAATGCATCCCGTCACCGCTTCGAAAACAGCAAAAGGGCATCATTCAAATTTGTCAACTATTTGACTTCACGCTTAATCTCTTGATTCATTCGGAAAAAATATGTCCGTAAATTGAAATTTCATCGGCAATGGAGCCTCTTCGTATTCCTTGAGCAAAATGGCACCGAAGAATGTGGCATCGCTGCTCAAAGAAATGCAGCAGCCATCGCATTTCATGCTTATGTGGATAGCACTGTTAGCCTCTAGTGCACGGACACCTGCCGTGTAACATGTGTGCCACGGTGGGACGCCCACCATGGAGTTCATACAGGTCAGAAAAACTTCTTCCTCGTTCACGACGACGGAATGCGTTGTCGCCAGGTCAGCATCAGGATCCTCCAAGTAAAGTATCTGGAAAGTACGATTTTGGGTATTGTGAGCACACGACATTCTAGACTGGTACCATTCTAGTAGGATTACTGATAAGGATGGGAGCCAGGCCAACATCATGAAAGAACTTTATTGCACGACAACTGTACAATGAGCAAAAAAACATAACATCCTAATTATTAACTTAAAGACAACAGGGCCTTATGTACAACTGAGTGGGACTAATTATCAGTTTTGGTATATTTTCTAATAACAAACCAGGCCATATATTTACCCTTTTCTTCATTGTGGGAGTTGCATATATTCAAATCAAGATATATTCAGTTGTTTGTTAATGCAGTCTCTTGAAATCTGTTGCACTTGATTAAAAATGTAAAAAGGTTATTTGGTAAAATATGATATCTAGAACATATATTTAGATCTCTCTCTATACTAATATACAGAATATCTGGCTGGTATTCAATACAATAAAACCCTACTGTAAAATGATAAAAACGAACCTGACTATAGATGAAGTAGAGACCTGTCTTTTCCACCGTGAGGATTCCGTCTTCTAGCGTAAATCCCTCATCCGGATAGCGGAGGGGGTGCCACTTGGTTATGATGTCATGCCCCTCTTGTTATGTGAGAAACAAGATATTTAATTCAAGGTGCTAGTTAAATTTAGGGAATATTCAGTGGTCTGCAAGAATGCTTACATTGAGTATGTTCAAGTTGACATTTGGTAGGTGGGTAAGCTTAATAAGACATCGACATGCATACAATTAGATTTTGTGCCCCCTGGTGGCTTGTTTCAAATAGTTCTGTTGTTCATCATTGGTGTGCACCTTATCAACGAGTAGGCAAAATCAAATTCCCACTCAAGTTTTCATATCATATTCACTGTACCCAGTTCCCTTTCAACGCATGATACAAGAGCCAAGATAAAACAAGAATATTGGATCAAAACTTACCTTCAATCTGGAAGCTATTTGCTACATCGCATGACGTCTGCCCGTCTGTAGAATATGCACAAAACGCATCTTCGGTTATACTCATGTCATCTATGTCAAGTTCTAATAACAAGGAATGCTGGTGTTCCATGATTTTCTTTTAAACGCTCTAAACCTTAAGATACTTTGAAAGCTTTAGTCAGTTGCTAGCAAACGCCGAGAGGTTAAATACTTAGCCTGCTTCTAACTCTGATCTTCACCAGACAAGATAAGGCTCCGACACGTATTAATAAAAATTATTTCAGAATTGCATCACTAGAGATAGTGGTAGATTTTGGTCATAGTTTTGACAGTCAAAAACTTTGTTCGACTGCGAAGTAGACAAGTATTTACAGGTAGACTGAAAGACAATTCCAGTGCGACTGTGAAACGCTGTTACTGACTTTAAACTCACCTGCGCGCCCCTCAACATGTACCGCTATCACATCCTAAAATGGAAAAGATAGACAGATTAGAATGTCATAAACAACAACAGGTTTGATTATTTTCCACCAAATCCATGTCCCACTACATGTACTCTGAAGTTAATCTTAAAAATGCACTTCTCCAAACGTTGTTACAGTTCTAAGAACATTAAACAACATCGACAAGATGCTTGCTTATATCAACAGATTAACTCACCCTGTGAAGTTCAGATTTCTCGTCAACGTTAGGACGGCCACCTGTTGTGAGAAAACAATGGAAAGACAATGTAATAGAAATATTGTGCACAATGTGAGGTACTGACAGCATATTGTACTTTCTGCTCACTGATTGTTGCGCTGTTTGAGCTAATACTAAGGCTCTTCATATGTAGTGATGTTAAAGCATGATAAACAACTAAATTGTACCTTTCTCTTCTTCTTGCCATGTTTCTCGTTTCATTCTTTTGAAGACTGTCATTCCATCCATGCCGTCCACCTGACAAATACATACAACGAATATAACGTTCACTATCTATCTTGCTACACTGCATCTCTACAGTCATATAATGTTATTGGTAAGGATAGACACTTTTTTCTATGCCTCCACTCCTTTGTGTTATTGTATTTCAGAAAATGTGAACCGATATTCCTTCCTTAGAGTTTTAGGCCTTCGTTCCATCTTCAATATGATTGAAATGCCATTAGTTCCATGGATCAGGGCCATACAGCAGAAATATATCTAATAATATCTGGTAGAATCAGGAAGACAATAACAGTGTGAGGTCAAATATTGTGCCGAATGCTGAAATATCGACCCAACAATGTGTGGGATAAGTCAACATGTTTTCAAAGTTTGCATCAAAGGGACGCTGTATGGGGGTTTGCTCAATGATAAGAGGTCACTAAGGGCGCTCTGCATGCGGCAAGGTGTCAATCATGTGGTAGATTATAGCTAATGTATGTATGTATTTGCATCAGATATCGAAGTGTTTAGCAACATGTTCACTTCATATCTGGATAGTTAGCTTTAAAGTCAACATCACTCCGGAACTGTAGGAAGGCAAAGTGATCGAGTTGACTAAAAAAGACCTTATACGTCTAAATATTTAGTTTTGTAGGTTTCTAGATGGATAGATGTGTTGCGGTAAACAGAGGTTTATTGTGGGTGCGTGTTGTCGGATAGGCTCATATAGTCTCATATAGCTCCTATGCTACCATTCAATTATCCCATCCTGTCTTCTTTCTTTTTCCAGTGTTTCGTTTTATGGGTGAGGCGTCTTTTTACCCTACCTTAATACGTTCCATTCAAATATAGCAAATAAAGGTCCTAAATAGCCCCTATTGCCATCATTCATTGCCCTTGACCTCTTAGAAAGACAGGCATACATAACAACAGAGGTCTGTTTGATAACTATATTATCAAGTTTGCGACAAGGCAAGATTCTGGCCATATGCTATAATGGTTTTTCCTTTAGAGAACCTCAGTGTTGGAAAACCCAAACACTTCAATTGTTAGAGCTGACATATAAGAGTACTAAGAATAACGAATGATCTCACCTTATTACTCTGCACAAGTACATCGTCAGCGTAATGTTCCTCCTCGTTCCACAGAGTTTGTACCATTTTGTCCAGTTCTTGCAGCTTTCTCTCCACCTCCAGTAGCCTTTCAGACAACCGCGCGTTCTCCCTTTCTGTCTTCAGCGATGTTTTTGACAATTGCGCGTTCTCACACTCAAGCGTTGCATGGCGATACACGAAAAATACCACGAAAAATACCACAACACAAAAGAACAGTCCTTTAAGGATACGCAGCAAATTTTCTTTACATGTGCGAGGGGCTTCAGGACCAACGGCATGCTCCTCTTGCCTTTTTTTCTCCTCCATGATAATTTTACCTTCGACGATTATCCAGCAAACATAAAATCGCGATGAAAAAACAAACCACAGGTCTTTAACAAATGATCTATTCACGGAGTGTGCTTAATCAATGGTCAAGGTACAAGGGGCAAACATTTGCCCCAAGCACGGCCTACCAAAGTTTCATGGGAAAGTCTACCCATTGTGTCGTTATCATAATATATGATTCTAGAAAAATGAATCCTAATGAACAGATAAGTGAGCAGAAATTCTTCAACCAGCCTTTGTTGTGAGTGTCCTAACTCCAAGGGGCCTTTGTCTCTTGTTTTAACGAAGGACAAGTGGTCTTTACATGTTTTAAGGTCAAGCTAAAATAGCCAGGGAGTTGTTAGAGAGTTAGCTGTGAAGTACCATGTCGATAGCATCTTCCTCGTTGTTATGTTTGGTGAGGATACATTTATCTAAGGTGTTTGATAGATATAAGACTTTTTATGATTACGCCATGCACACAATTGATTTTTTTATTCGCCTGAAGTCGTCTGAATAGAGGCGTGCAATTGGCTACATTTGACAGGTGCTGACTTTGTAAAGCCTTGTTGACATAGTATCCATTGTGTTAGGTCCATGTACTTTGCTCTGCAATACTGTCCCTTGTACCTAGTGGCATTCTTAGAAGTTGAATGAATGCCACTATTATGCCCGTACAGATTGGTATATAGGGTTAATCAATTATTAACGAAAGCAGATTGGGCATTTCAAACTTCAAATTCTGTATTTTCGGGGGGGGGGGCACGTGGAAGTTGGCAGTTAAGATGACAAAAATGGCTAGAAAATGTCCATTTTTTTCATATTATCATACCATCGACTAATCTGATCGATACAGATTTATAGATTTCAAAGTCAAACATGGACACGTTAACCATGACTAAGCAACTAAAAACATTCTGAGTCATGAAAGGGACTTTTCACACGACCTCTTGATTTTGCCAGTGGATACACCATAGGCGCCACCCTATATAGTTCCGTTCACTAGTAACTGTGGATTTTGTGGTCGTCTGTGACTTAGCAAGGGCATAATCGTCCTTGGTCTGAGCAGTAACTACGGTGTACACTGACTTACACCAGGTAAGGTGTCCACAATACTTCTAAATGTCACGTGGTCATAGCTATCCAACGTTAACAGGGGCCAATAGGGCATATATTTGGGACTGTGCGTCTACGACGTGGGTTCGTATAATCACAACAAAACGGTAGAAAGTTTCTGAAGTTTCTGTTGGAATACATGCTATTGAGGACCTCACAGCCCCCATATACATGTACTCATGCCAATATGAGTTTTTTTTGGGGGGGGGGGTATGCTTGCACAAACTTTGAGAATTGGACTAAACAACGCGCATTACATGCGGTAGAGATCAAGGGAATTTTGCTAGACAAAGATACAACTCTGCCTAAACTACCTACCTTATACTTTCTATTGATGAATTGAGGCTTACTTAACAGTCTTTGGTCTTGTTTCTACAGAGGTCAGTGATATGTTCCAAACAATGGCAACTAAATCAGGGATATCAGGGGCGCTCTGTTTTTTGACCTTGTCTGTCGTCGCCGAGTGTGTGTCGTCATTCGGGCAAGACTGTCCCGGGAACTGCAGTTGTACAGAGAACCTGATCGTGCACTGTGACGGCCATGATTCCACGGCACTACCTGTGGGTCTACCGACCAATTCTTCAGACCTGACACTTATCAACTACAACTTGCCTGAACTAGACCTTACTGAACTGCATAACTTGTCCCGGCTAGAGGGCTTGGTCCTGTCGAATAATAAAATCCACCATATCAAAGGAACACTAGAAGTGTTTAAACACCTTAATCAAGTGGAACTGAAAGGAAATTACTTGACGGATATCTCCCCCAAGTTGTTTGGGTCGATAGCAGAACAACTGAAGTACGTGGATTTAGGAGATAACCCGTTTAACTGTGACTGTGGCGGTATTTTGCTGAACACTGATATATGTGACTGTACTGACAATAGGTTTAACTGCACCTGTAACATTAAGTGGTTACAAGAACAAGTGAAACTGAACCCAAACGTATGGGTAGGAGTAAAATGTCACAACTCGTCGAAAGATACTGACATTAGAGATGTAGATATATCAGACTTCTGGTGCAGACACAAATTGTGCTGGATAATTGGTATTGGTTGTGGTATAGTTATAGTTATAGTTAGTACCATTGTAATTCTGGGGCGGCGGTGCAAGGCGAGGAGAGGATATGTGCCTATCAACTCGCCCGACGAGGACGGTACTACAGAGAGTGAGACGCAGGCAGATGTCGACACCGATGATAGGGTTCCTTCATCCACACTCCCGGGTGCCGCGTCACCTCAGACAGAACCAGAATACAGTATGTACAGCGTCCATTTTATATCTCTTGTGTGCAATGCTATACAATACTTAGGATTGAAAATATATTCCTTTGCCTCAAAACATATCATACTGTTTCTGTTTTATGCTGAGAGATACCAAAATCTATACACAAATTTATACCCTTTCTAATGAAAGGGTATACATTTTTGTATGATCTTGGATCTTGAATTAGGTTACATCTTTTTTTTTTCTTCTTTTATTCCAAAAGGCATACAACAAGCCACACGTGAGCCAATGGCTGCTCCTGGCGCTACCGGGCTTGGTCCCCCATCGTGTAGTCTTCCGAGTCAACCGTTATCAACACGTGAGACCCAGAGGCCTTCTCAGAAGGAGACCGTTCAGGAAAACGCTATAGCTAACATGGGGCATGTTGTTACTGAGAAACAGCTTGATACTTTGGCTAAGAAACTGGGAGCGGAGTGGGAGTCTTTGGCCATTGATCTCGGGCTTACTGCAAATGATGTATTTCAATGTAAAGAGGATAACAGGATTGTCGAAAGAAAAATATTTGATATGCTTATGCGATGGAAATCCAAGGAGGGTTCTAATGCTACAGTGGAGAAATTGTTAGAGATACTCAAGGCATTTGACCCTCCTCTCGACAAGGAAAAGTATGAATTTCTGGAAAAATACTTGTGGTAACTATCCAATACTGTTCATTGCCTTTGTACAGAACGTTATAAACGTATAAAATCTCTTTGGGTAAATCTTTTTTCTGTGTCTAAGGTTAACAAGGAGCAAAGGTTATTTCATATGCATGCACTTGTTATTGCTATTTACTCTCACAATAAATCAAACTGACTTGTAACTAAGACCATATGTTTCCAAGAAAGACACTAAATACATCACAGAGGTGCAAATGTGCATGGCTGTTCCCACTGTCTTCCTTTGACAACATACGGAGAGCTTTGGATATGGATTGGTAAAAGATAGGTACTATATATCTTCTAAGTTTGATCTTCGTGGGCTAGAGAAGTATGTGTCATTATATATACGACATTACCGCACCGCTCCAAGCTTCGGTAGAGCTCTCAGCCGCGGCCGGAGTACAGGGGTGGTGGTCAACGGGCGATGTCCTTGGTGCTGAAATGGGCGGTCCCTAACCTATACTGTACATTTCCATGCATTAGCGTTATTCGGTCTCCCTAACACCTCCCCATCCATACCAAAACATCACAGCATGTGTGTGGAACATCGGAAAGCCTCCCCAAGCTTTTCATGTCATCCCCGCACCGCTCCGAGCCTCAGGACAGATGTCAGCCGCAGCCAAAATACAGCGGCGCTGCGTCCACTGGCGATGTCCTTGGTGCTGAAACGGGGGGTCCCTAGTACTTAGATAGTCTCGTACCCAGGGCACCTACTGAGAAGCTATCCACACTTATCCACAAGTCGTATGGGAACCTGGGTACGAGATTAGAACGTTCCGCCATTTGTCTGGAGTTTTACCTTTCTCCCTCTCTAGTTGGGTCACAGAGTTCCAAGATTTAAAATCGTTCCTTACAACAAGAGAGGTACATACGTATGATGTGGAAAACCCAGAATCTACTTCTAAAACAGGTGAGGGATCGCTTCTGAAATAATCCAAAACAATTTTGAAATGTGGGGAGGGGGGCAAATTAGAACCAAAGTTTTTAGCATTATAAGTTGGGGGAGTATTAGAAGGCTGGTGTATAAATATTTGCTTTTGAAGGTGACCTTCTGTGATGATTTATTTATTCCCATTGCTGTAAACGTTTTGAATGAGCGCTTTCTATTGCCAGATATAAGTTGTGTAGAGATTCAGGTACAATGTAGTTGTACCACAAATGACAAGACATAGACGCAGTTTGGTCTATTGGTTTATTTGTGCAAAATCTATATTCTATTTCATACTGAAACGCTGACATGCTTTTGGTATCCATATACAACTCTGAACATTATAACTACAGTCTAATCAACAATGTATAAAACAGTAAACTAAATATTTACTGATATATAAATTATGAAAACAAACAGTCTATCTTCTGCTATATATTATTGGGCGATAAAAGTTTGTCACTTGTTGCATTTTACTGCTTTATCCAGCAATGGGCATTCCAGGTTTTCTAGTCAAAGTTGGTGGTCACTGATGGCCTTGGTAGCTTGAACTCCTGAAAAACATACAATATAATTTTGTGGCCTTAGTTTTTTTATTTAAATGTTCCTCTGAAGTATGCACATATGAATGAATAGGTACAACAATCTTAATGGTAAAACAAGAAAATGTTATGAATTCTGTTAAGCAATTTTTATTATTCTATCATGAAAGGTCATCTGTGTTGGTTAATTTCCATGTTTAGAGTTAAAACTTTAGATCCAACACAAAAAGTTCTCTCGCCTAGAGCTTTGGACCAGTGACACTCTGGTCTTCCTCAGTAGACTGAGTAGTTGACATCACACTTCAAAGAAGCCACGTAACAAGCCTTAGTTGACATCACACTTCAAAGAAGCCACGTAACAAGCCTCACTGGGTCAGTCTACTGAGGAAGACCAGAGTGACTGGTCGAAAGCTCTAGGTGAGAGAACTTTTCATGTTGGATCAAAAGTGTTAACTCTAAACAATTTTTACCTTCGCCAAGAAGGTTATGTTTTCAGGGGCGTTCGTGTGTGTGTGTGTGTGTGTGTGTGTCTGTCTGTCTGTCAACACGATAACTTGAGAAGGCCTTGGTGGATTGTCTTGATACTTGGTAGGTGGGTAGGTCTTGATGAGACCTCAAAATGATTAGATTTTGGGCCACCTGGCGGCTTGTCATGGTACTGCAGCAGAACTTCCGGTTTTGATATCTCATGATCCAGACATGCTAGGGTGACGAAATTTAGATGGTAGATAGCTCTTGTGCTGGGAATAAAGTGACATGAGTTTGAGCCCCCTAGTTGCTTGCTCTAGAACTGCAGGGGGGTTTAATGGACAAATGTTTAAAGGGGGATAACTCAAGAACCGAATGATGGATCATCGTGATTTTTGGTATGTAGGTAGCTTGAGTGATGCTTGACATAATGATATTACAATTATGCAAATATGGATGTAATTTGCATAATTAATGAGGAAATTCTATTTATCAGCTGTATTCCATAATAGGAAGTTCAAGCTTGTGACATATGTTATTAAGAATGAGAGAAACACAGGCAGATATCGATTATGCAAATGAAGACTTAATTTGCATAATTAATGAGAAAATATTATAATTGCATAGTGGTAACTGCCTGGAATTTTATACTTGGGGTGTTTGAAAGTTAAGTTAAGGTGAACATAATTAAACATAACTTATTCAAATAAGGACCTCATTTGCATAATTTATGAGAAAATGTCATCATGGCATTCTTTGTTAAGATAAGACTGTCTTTTGGTGGAGAATATGATCAACAGATATAATTCATGCAATTGAGGATCCTATTTGCATAATTAGGGGGACTAATATATAATTTTAATCATAAAAGCTAACATCATTTGGCGAAGGTATGAGATCGTGGAACTCTAGTTATTACTATTTTTCATTGTTTCAATGTTTATTATTATTCCAGTTCCTCAAAAAGAATGACTGTGAGGATGCATGAGCACTACTGGAGATGGTAACAGACCTGATCTGAAGGTATTTTGGGCGGGTCGTTGTTCCAGGCACAGTCTGGGGGAGGGTCTGTCCCGTGGCCGTTCTGAAGACTGGAGAATTCTTCTGAAATATCCTGATGATGGAACCCTTTCTCACTGCAACAAAATGAATATAATACATGTAAAATATTATTGTTCAGATTGAGAAAAACTGTTTGCTCCTTTCCCCTTTTTTAATTCATTATTGTGTATTTGGCACTAACATTGTGCATATTCCACTACCAGGCACATACATTCCCCAAGTCCATTGTGCTATTCACTTTCTCCCAGCCTGCAAACCTGGTTCGGGTTGTAGTTACACCATTTCTCCCTCACTTCCTATGACTCTACTGTATCCAAATAACTATGGACACACAAACAAACAGATCAACAAACCCACACACCTGTCCAGTTGGTGTAGCCTGTTCCTCACGCCCAGACAGACGGACAGGACAGACGTCAGTGGGAACAGCAGCCTGTGACTATCCAAACAATCACTGACACACAAACAAACAAACAAACAAATAGACAAACCCACACACCTGTCCAGTTGGTTCAACCTATTCTTGACACACAGACAGACGGACAGAACAGAAGTCAGCAGGACCAGCAGCCCCCCCACCCCTGCTCCTACCAGGATCACCAGAGCGCGCGGCGCGTACAGCTCACATCTGGGGCCGCTGTAGAACCCGCTGGGGTCCGCACCGCACCTACAAGAAAGGATAATATGTGTCTTATTATCTATGATATTTTCTTTACACATATGGCTCCCATCCATTGTACAATATTCGTAGGGTCGCACAAAATTTTTAGCTGTCTTGTCACAAAAACTGTTTTAGATCCTTGTCGGCGGTTAGGTATCCACAGATACACAAGAAATTGATACTCAAGTAACTGGATAGGTTTTTAAAATCTATGCAGGTGCTTGACCCATGCAGTGTTTATAGAGTGCCACAAAAAAAGTAGCTGACTTTTTAGTTTAGTTTGAACACTGTTGAAAACTGTGTTTTTTTAAAAGATACATACCGACAGACTGGTCCTGTTCCCTGTAGGAACTCACACGTGCCGCTGTTGTGACAGTAGCCCTGGTCACACCTACACTCTGCCACAAGAGTACCGTACACATCACGCAACTTGCAGGACGCTGCAGTTCCACATGACAAGGTACAGAGGGTGCTGCTGCTCAGACCCTGCAGAGCTGGCAATGCACATGATGCCTATTACATTGTGTAAGGAATCTAGTTGCTTGATCATCAGTAGATGTTGATGATCAATGATATGTGAACGAAAACATATGATAGTCTACATTGACGTCTACCACAATACAGGCTATACAAAATTTCAGGCTAATCAAGCTTGAATCAAGGTGTTCAACATTGTTTGATTACCCCCAAACTACTTTAGTATTATTAATCAGTCAATCAATCAAAGGCAGAAGGGGCATTTCCATTTTATGAAGTTCATCAGCACTCAGAGTCTTAGATATACAAAGGTAAAGCAAGGAGGTTTTAACTTGGTATTTGCTATCGGGTTAACGGTGAGTATACCAGTTTACAGATAAAAGATTATTATTATTATTATTTCTGTATTATTTAACCAGGGTAGCACTACTCAATGACATAGCACTGCTTTACAGAGTGGCCCTGGAACAGAGAGTGATATTATATGTACACATATTATTTTCTGGATAACCTTATTAAGGGGCTATTATATTCCTATATCCCTCAGATATAGAACAGAGAGTGATATAAGTACACACACCTTCCTGGGACAGTTGCATCCGCCGCAGTGTCCCCACCGTTTCCATGGTAACCCCCAGGTTGCTGACGTCATCTCCGCCCGTCCCGTTACTCAGCAACAAACTCATCGTCTCCTGGACGGTTCTGGCGATGACGTCATCGGAGGGCGCCTCGTCCGCAGCGAAAATGACAACGTAGTCCACAACAACACTTCCTGCGCTGTAGGGATTTTATTAATATATATGAGGCATTAGGTTCAGCCTTCTTTTATTGAAACAGTTACATAAAAAAAACAAATACAGACAAGATAGCGACTGTTTATCTGTATAGGCGCTATAACCGCCTTTTGGCATAACACACCAGCTTCACAGGCACGCGGCGCAGCGGCAGCAGGCTATATTACACCGATTGACTTGTTACACCTAGCCCTTGAACATCTAACTCTAGACATTGTTTAAAGCTATCTAATGATAATGCCCCTACTGCCCATACAATAGAATGACGCATTCAAGTTACATCAAAGTTATAGAGTCCGTCCAAAGTTATAGATCCGAGAGATCTCAGAGTTCAATTCAGAGTTTCGGAATATAGAGTTAGGTTTTTCATAACCTTCAAGTTCACAGACCTCAGGAATTGTTTTATTCGTGAATGTATTGGACCTCTGGAGGGGATTGTGTGGTGTACATGTAATTCAATTGTGTTCCTGAATTCCTCCATATACCACCCACTTACTCGCATGAGTGCAGCATGACATGGTAGTACAATAGAAAACTTTTAAGTTTTCTATTTAAGTTTCCTATTGTACTACCAAGTCATGCAGCAGAAAAAGTTTTTTTCAAAAATGATTTGACAATGACAATGATCTTTATTGCATATTCACACCCTACATGGGTTAGATAACTGAGGTACAAGGGTGGGAGGAACAAGTGCTACATTACTCTGCTACGTCTATACATGTATCTATAAGATGTCCCTTTTCGAAATGTTAAATGTGCTATGGCTATCAACTGCTTTTACCAACCTGAATCCAATGATTTTGATTTCTTTGAACCCAGCAAGGCCTTCATAGATGGATGTGAACTATAGGAGTGGACAAATCATACATTAATACAAACTGTAATTCAACAAAAATAAATGGTACACGATGATGTGTATGCAGTGGAAAAGCAGTCAAATATATTTTCAAATGATTCAGCTATTTATATCTTTAACTACTTACTGTGGAGACTACTTACTGTGAAGATGAACTGCTTTTCCAGATCCCTGTACTCGGTTGCCTCTGGGTCCCGCAGGTTTTCATTGAAGGTCTTGTTCAGACTCAGCTGGAATCCCAACAGCTTCTGTGGTCCATCTAAAGCATCAGAATAGATGCAATGAATATTATATATATATTAGACAAAGAACAATGGAAAATACAAAAAGGGGCAAACATAATTATAATGGCACAGAACTTCACATACCTGGAGTCAAAGTGTCTGGCTTTGTGTTTTCTTTGACTTTCTGTTGATCTGGTGTCTTTGTTGGTCCTTTGTCCGAGTTTTGGTCTTCCGGATTCGCCCCTGATGCTGACTCCCCCTCGGGTTCGGATTCTCCCTCGGGTTCCGCTTCGGGTTCCGATTCTCCCTCGGGCTCCACTTCGGGTTCCAATTCTCCCTCGGGTTCCGATTCACCCTCGGGCTCCGCTTCAGGTTCCGATTCTCCCTCGGGCACTGCTTCGGGTTCTGATTCCCCTTTGGGCTCAGTCTGTGGTGTTCCTTCGGGCTCTGCTTCGGGCTCCGAAGACGCCTCGGGCTCTGGCTCTGGTTCTGCTGAAGCCCCGGACTCTGCTTCGGACTCTAGTGAAGCCTCGGGCTCCACCTCTGGTTCTGATGACGCCTCGGGCTGTGGTTCTGGTGAAGCCTCGGGCTCTGCTTCTGGCTCTACCGATGCATTGGGCTCCACCTCTGGTTCTGATGACGCCTCGGGCTGTGGTTCTGGTGAAGTCTCGGGCTCTGCTGCAGGTTCTGCTGAAGCCTCGGGCTCTACTTCTGGCTCTACCGATGCTTCAGGCTCAGTCTCTGGTTCTGACGACGACTCGGACTCTGCTTCGGGTTCTGACGTTCCCTCGGGCTCTACTTCTGGCATTGACGATGCTTCAGGTTCTGCTTCTGGTTCTGAATTTACCTCAGGCTCTGCTCCGGATTCTGGTGATCCTTCGGGCTTCGCCTCTGGTTCTGATGTTCCCTCGGACTCTGCTCCAGGCTCTGACGACGCTTCTAGCTCTGGCCCTGGTTCTGGCGTTCCCTCTGGTTCCGCTTCAGGTTCGGAAGTATTCTCTGGCTCTACTTCTGGCACTGGCGATGCTTCGGGCTCTGGTGAAGCCTTGGGCTCCACTTCAGGTTCTGCCGATGCTTCAGGCTCTGGCCCTGGTTCTTCTGTTCCCTCGGGCTCTGCCTCTGCTTCTGGAGACGCCTCGGGCTGTACCGAAGCCTCGGGCTCAGCTTCAGGTTCTAAAGTATTTTCGGGCTCTACTCCTGGCTCTGTCGATGCTTCGGGCTCTGACCTTGGCTCTGAGATTCCCTCGGGCTCTGTTTCAGGTTCCGGAGTTCCCTCGGGCTCTGCGTTGGATTCTACTGAAGCCTCGGACTCTGGTTCAGGTCCTGAAGTTCCCTCTGGCTCTGCTTCGGGTTCTACTGACGTCTCGGGGTGAGCAGAAGCCTCGGGCTCTGCCGAAGCTTGCGTTTCTGCCTCACCAACCGGCGTCGGTTCCCCGAAAAGCTCCGGTGAAGGCCCGGCTTGTGTCCCGCTATCTGTCGTTGATTCGCCTCCATTACAATTCACTGGAAAGCAAATTAGAAATGAGAAACGTAAGTTCTTTATCTGCACCACACTGTAAGGTTACTACATATACAAGTAGCTAATCTTGCTGTCAGCTTTCAAAAAAGTAATGACAGCTGATTCTTCTGCTGGTGGTCAAAAACTGGGTGCCTATATAATGTACACATATGTTTGAAGTCAAATCCTTAAATTGTCGTATTTCTAATGAAAGATGGCATCACATTTTAGTTGTCTGTACATGTGCCTTTTATCGCAAATACAAATAGAAACCACCCTCACCTTTTTGTGTTTTTTTTTTTGCCCTTTAAATTGCACGTGCTTACTCATTAGCCCGAATCTCTGTGTGCCCTGATTCTGTTCTTTAACACATAACAGTAAATACTCGGATACACCTTTGTTCAAGCACGGGTTAGTTTGTTGTCTTGAAGTAACTTCAGGTCGAGAACACCTGTTTCCTTAAGTGTGGCCGCAAAGGTTCTGAAGAAAAGAAGACATCGCCCGAGACACTAGAAGACAACCCAACGTTCTTGAAGTGCGGAGGAACTTTGTTTGAAGTGTTATAAGTAGTGACCGGCATTGTCAGGTGTTTGGTACTCGTTAATATGAAGGGCCCGCCTTGGTAAGCCCTACTTGTTTTACTACATCTCAGGGTTGAAACACCTGAGCGAAAGGGGCTTTTGTGATGCCGCTTTAAGCTGACCTGTCCAGGTATACAGGCCAACTCTCTAAACAAAGGTTTGGGCTTCGTATCTTTAGGCGTTTTGTTGGGCTTTTGTTTTTGTACTCAGGTATCCTTTTTTTTTTACGCTAGCCAAACTTCCGGTGGCAAAATTTGTACTGCCATGCCAATTTCATTAATACTTTATTGTCACCAAAAGATCTTCTTCTGGAATTTATAAAGGCCATCGCGATTAAAAAAAAATGAGGGAGATTTTAAGTTTTTGATCCTTCCTTCTTCTTCATCTAGAAATGTTGGAATGATACATTTTTAACAAGTCCTCTAACTATACGTGTAACATCTATCACCACGCCTATCCTGTTTACCACGCAATGCATTGCTGAAAAGAACTCATTACAGAACAGAATGGATCAGAACTAACAGAATGATAGAACTGGACAGAATAGAACAAGAACAGAATATATGTAGAATAGAATAGAATTCTATAGCAGGATTTTCAACGCTGTCGATCTTGCGCCGTCGATCTTTCCTTTAATCGATCTTAACGCCAAACGGAGTAAGGGTCAAGAGGTGATTCGCACCAATTCGTGTCGCTACGGCGTACAATTTGACAAGTGCATTCCGACATACAGGTTCCGATACATGCATGCGAACATAACACTCAATAGACGTTCACTGTGTTACAGTTAAACTTTGCCTGTAAAAGTTGACATTGTGATCCATAAGTGAAGTTTTTGGGGAGGACTTGAGACCATGTAACATTGCTGTGGACTGTTCTCGCCGATGAATCATAACCGGAAAATTCAAGTGTGGAGGAATTCCTGTTAACAACTTGCGATCGATATTAAAGTCCTTTTGGAGTGCAAAACTGTTTCATTCGTCAGCCCTATAGATTAGTCATCGAATACTTGACAGAAAAATACGATTAGTTTGATTCACTAAATGTCTACTTGTTCAACACGACGCACCCAGTAAGTAAGTGTGTAGAGTTCGAATCGATGACTAACGTTAACATACTTTTTGTTAACCGTGCATTCGGGAGTCATTTTCTGCTTGTGAAGATCTTTCAGGATGTTATTTTGACGCTCGCGTTAGTGTGACTAATATGACATAGGTAGAGAAATCCTGGTTCCTATACTGATCATGATTTCGTTTGATTTCATGATAAAGCTTGCTCAATTTTACGTTATCGTACAAAAACGTTATCGTTAAATCTAATTTATAGACAACTGTCCATTAACGGATGCATGGACTGTTTTGAAGTTAGCACTTAGCACGCCACTGCTTTAGACTTGTAGAACAAAGCTTAAAGTAAAAAATCGTCATCTATACTGACCAAGTTGTGATAACAGAAGCAAAGTGGCGACTTCTTTCATACTAGCTTATAACTGCAAGGACCTTTCAGGATATAACTAAATAGATGCTCCTTTTAGTATGACATAAGTAGAGATATCGTGGTTTTTAAAACGAATTTGTTAACGATTTTTTTTAGATTGACAAGACTTCTTAATTGTAAATCCTGATGTTCAAGCCTTATTGTTTGACTCCCATATAATTAGCAAAAATACAGAGGAGAATCAAACTTTTGTTATTGAACATCGATATCACTTCCATAGACTTGTAAAAACTATTGACGTAAAACTTACCTTGTAATAGAAGTACAAGAACGGTGACGAACAAGAAGCGAAACATTGTGAATTTAGATACCAGCTTTCACACATACACAGCCAGTAACTGACTGACACGTTTGCCTACTCACTGTCAGAACCCTGACAAAAAATGACAACAAGAACACAGGTCCTGTACTGGGGCACCCATGGGTGCTATGTCCGAGTGGGGACGTAAGGGCGACGCCCTTTTGTGTTGTGGAGGTTGAAGAGCTCTCAAACACAGCTTCTCGTGTTGTCAATCAATAAGAGAGTTTTTGGTTGCACAGCGGCATGTATTTATTTGAATATTCCATATGGTATAAATAGAGGGAGGCAAAACAGGTGTTAAAGATTTACTCTACAAGAAGGGGTTTAGGCTTTAGCTTATTTTCTATGTGTTTTTCTGGGGCTTTCTTCATTTTGTACTGGTATTTTCTTAAATTACGCGTACCTCAACCGACCTCAAAGTGGCCTCAACCGACCGCTTCCTGGTCTAATATGGAGTATACATGGGTTAAGAATCCTTTTATTTCTATGGATACATTGTATGTGCAATTATGAATAGGAAAAACGCTGTAACTCTGACGTTTTGTCAGTTTTTTTACTGCGGAAACAATTGCAGTTCCAAGTAGGCTTTCTAGGTGGCGCTTTTGATACCGTACTGAATGTCAATGATAGCAGGTACTCAGATAATTAGTAAGATCTCAGATTACGATTTTTGAGCCAAGTACATAAAGCTTAAAGCTGCAACATCGGAGGAAAGTCATTGTCTTAACTTTCTAAATATCAAAGTTTTCTTGAAACTGGAAGTTTTTTCAATGGTTTCATTATTTCATACTTTGATAGAAACTTTCTGCTCAGTAAAGCATAAAATTATAGCCCCACTGTTCCAATTTTCTATGTCTGCCACGTTTTTTTACCGAATCAAAATGTAGATCTTTTCATCGTTAGAAAAAAAATACTATTCCCCTCTCTCAATCTCCTCCCCACATCTACTTGGAGATAGACACGACCGGCGAAAAGTTCTCACGCACGCGCAGTCACCAACTTCAGTTCAAACACGTCACGCCCAGAATCTGACCAATCAGGAGTCGGCATTTTGAAAACGAGGCCGCAAGGAAAATAAAAAAGATGTCGGACCGACCACAGATGGAAGGAGTTCTCTGGAAATGGACCAATTATTTGAGCGGTAAGAAAGAACACAGAACTTCTTTTGGGTATCTAGTGGTGCTCTGTAGTCTTGACGATCCATAGAAAGTGTTTCAAGGGCATAGAATTGTCGGTAGAGTGTGTTTTTGGCTTGGTGACCGGGTCATGTTCTAAATACGCTGTCGTCATCTGTTTACTTCCGGGTTTTACGAGAAATTTCAATCTGAACGGTTTATTCTAAATCATACTTTGAAATTCGTGCAGAATCGTACCAAACGCTCTCCGTGTGTTGAGTAGCTCTCTTTTGTACCAAATATTTTATTGTAGTTCCTCTGTTTAGTGAAATATTCGTGCACTGCATGTACCGGCATACGTGGCAGGTTTTGACGTGCTGACCCGGTTTGTTTGCTTAGCACGTTACCTTGGTGTTTAATGCCGTTGTTCGACGATCATTACTTACAAATTAAGTCAAATAATCTCCCAGAAAGTCGCAAAACCTAAGAGTGTCCACAAGAAGTGATTTTTGTTTCGGCAGCGTGAATATGTGAAGGTGAAGATATGTGTGTCGTGACCTTAGTGTGCCCTAAATTATGGCCCTACAGGACGATGACCCCAACTTAGCTGCACTGATTCACGTTTTATACATTTATTTTCGTGGGGAAAAAAAGGAGGTCTCTGCAGTGTTTCAAGCTTATAGTTCATTGCTCTAGTACGGTAGTAATGCAATGGAACCGCATATTCGTTGTACGTGTCATGATTTAATGCGTAAAAATACCAAACCATACTCTGTGTCATTTTTTCAACCTTCATGACCACACAGATTTCATAATGAAAGCAACTTTTTTTTTTGCAAAACTTTTTTTTTATTCGCACGCGCGCATCAGTTTTGGGGTTCCCAGAGGATGTCATCCATATACTGTAATTCCTGATTTGTTCACTGTACTGATAAGTTCACTGTTTTCACTGTTGCTTCTGTACAGTGAACTTATCATTACAGTTAACAAATAATTCCTGGACTTTCTTTTTTCTGCACCTGTCACCACCGTGAACATATAGTTCCGTGAACATGTCCACTTTTCTCAGACCGTGAAATTTTGCTACCGTGAACATAAAGTGAATTACAGTAATCAAATCAACATGGCCTAATAAAGAGAACAGATTATAACTAGGCAGCTAACAATGTACAGTGTACAAGCAGGTGTGTGTCCAACATTGGTTATTCTTTAACTTGTACTTAAGTAACAGTCTGAACTTACCTTACAACTTATTGTAACATTTTCAGGTTGGCAGCTGCACTGTATGATCTGTACCATAGTCAATGGAATTTTGTATAACTGCAGAAATTCATGTGTTTTTGTCAGGTTGGCAGCCGTGCTGGTTTGTGCTAGATAACTGTGTACTGGCATACCTTTGGAATCCACTTTCTAAGTCAACAGCCTCTGTACCGTAGTCAATGTAATTTTGTACATTTTGTATCTCTCTCTCTCTCTCTCTCTATCCAGTTTAACGTCTGTTGTTCCCCATGTTCCGAGGGTTAGACGTGCTTGAACACCGATGCTGTTCTTGATTGTAGCTCGCCATTTGCCTCTGTCCTGTGGTTCTTGTGCACAGTAAATGTCAATACCCTTGTAGGTATAACTGTAGTAATTCTTGACAAATGTGTATTTTTGTCAGGTTGGCAGCCACGCTGGTTTGTACTAGATAACGGAGTGTTGGCGTACTACAAGTCACAAGAGGAGGTTCACCAGGGGAGCAAAGGGGCACTCAAGATGTCTGTATGTGAAATCGCAGGTGAGAAGATGTTTTCTTTAAGCTATTTTGCAGGTGAGAGATTGACTGAGCGGGTGCTGGTCACTGTTTGTTTGTTTGAGCTTTGTCTATTCACGAAATACTCAACACTTTTCTTTCTTTTCACTCTGTAAGTGTAACCTGTCCTAGTCTGTCCTACTAGTAGATTGTATACTATAATATGTACAATGTATATACGAATGACTATTCCTTGGTCTATTTGAAGGCAAAAGGGAACTTTTAGTAAGTAGATTTTAAGCCCATACAACCTCCTTAATCCAGCAGTTGTTCAATCTGTTCATTTGATTTGCTTCTTTAGTTCTATGCTGTTTAAAACTCTTACAAAAAGAGTAGGAATCTGCATCCTATTGCAGTTCTTATTTTCTTGAGCTAATGAATATCGCTGACCCACACAGCCTCCCCAATCCAGCAGTTTATCAATTTGTTCAATTTTCCTCTCTTTTTATCTCGGCCGCCTGAGCGGCCGAGGTATTGTGCTCCAAAATATGTACGTTGAATGTTAAAATCTTGATTTCGACCGTGAAAAAAAAACCCAATGAAACCAATTACTCTGCGTGTATACTTTACTTTGTGGGGTCGAGCTACCGGATGATAGTGTCGTTATTCTTATACAACGAAGTTGCTAAAAAAGAGGAAATGCTGTTTACCACAAAACCATTGTTTAATATCATAGTATGCATTTAAGGTTCTAGAATTTCGCTAATAGCTGCGGTAATTGGACCAATAAATCAATGACATAAATTATGTACATTAACCTTCCATATTTGCTTAAGTCGCAAGATGTCGCTTTTGATTGGTGAATAAATCACTGTGACGCACGTAAATATTCACTTGAAATGAGAAATTACCGCCCAACAAAACGGACCATTAGATTCCCAGTGCTGTATTACTCTTTTGTTCTTGTGGTCAACTTGTTTTCTTTGCTTGAATCGCGTAAAAGACCAAGGAAAATACAATGAAATCGGCAAATATCGCCGAGCCGCGCCGATCTGCCGCCGCCATCTTGGATTTTTTTGGAAAGCTGCAATTTGGCCCAAACCGCTAGAGGGGGCGAATTAAAATGTTTAATATATTCGGTCTGAAGTTTTAGTAGCTCTAGCAGTAGAGGAGAAGTTTGATAATGCATAGAACGATAAAATAGAATAAATTAAATGAAATAAAATAAAACAGAATAAAATAAAATGAAAATAAATAAAAATAAATAAAATAAAAATAAAATAAAATAGAAAATTAATTGTAGTGGTTACATATACTTAACGTTATATTGTATTTAGCAATGATCATTTAGCAAAAAAAATTCGGTACTGAAACTCCGGTATTCAGAATCAGGTACAGGTACAGGTCCGGACCTGGACCTGATCCTCTGGACCTGGAAGAGCCGAACAGGTACCCACCCCTATTGCTAGTGGTGTAATATGGCTGTAATGTCGACACTGTTTGTTGAGTACTAGTACAGTATATTTATATTCCTAATCAAAAGTAACAGTGAAAGATTTGCCCATACATTGGTATTGAAATAAAGAGCACATTTTAGTACCGTTCACCTGTCAATTTGGTCATTTTCCGGGGGTACGTTTATTCCGGAGGGTATGTATATTAGACTTTGAAGATTTGTCCGGGGGGTATGTTTATTCCGGGGGTATGTTTATTAGGGACATGAGAGTAGTATGCATTAAATGTTATAAAGATTTGGTAATAACTGCTGCAATTGCACCAATAAACCAAGTTTAAAAAATTACGTTTTAATATTACCTTGAGACATCTGAATAAGTCAAGACGAAGGTTATGGAAGTGCACTATATTCCTCGGTCGCAAGATGTCGCTTTTGATTAGTGGCCTGAATGGAATTTCCCATATCGAAGATCCCGGATGTAACGCATGAGGCTGCTTAGGTATTTACTTAGCAAAAATAGCAAAATATCAGGAATTATAAGGGTATTAGGCATAGAGCCATAGGATAGAAATGGAGCTAAAGATACTACGGGCAAGGGCAATCAATTACATTGTGTTTTATTCGTGCTGTTGAACAGATTTAAACAGAGTTACGTTATCGCCCCCCCCCCCGTGAAAATTTATGAATTCGTACAACCTAACAATATGTTAGTGCATTAAGCTTGATAACGTTTGACAGCTCTGTTATTGTAGCCACTCCATTTTGTGTTGTCTCATGAAGTTATACCAAAATAAAACATTTCACTTTTGACACATGCATCTTTGCTCTTTATTCATCAGTATTGTCCAGACATTACAATTTCAATGAAACATACAGATGAAACATAGTTCCTCTGTAATATACAACATGACACTACTGATTCCAAAAAATGTCTTCCCCATACATAGAGCTGTGTAACCTACTCTAACAGAGAAATTAGCTCCACATACATATCCTAAACTCTTTCCTGTCTCTCAAATCTTCAATCACAAATGAAAATCTGTATCTCTACCTAAACATTTTCCCTCCCAACATCTGCTTCGAGATTAATATTTTTCACTAATTCCATTGAAGCAAATGATAATGGAAGCCAACTTATTACCCTGTTTGGTGTTACAGGTATGAACATACTAGGTAATACATTCTTTCCTCTCTAGCAGTTACACAAATCTATGTGGACATCCTCAAAGACCACAAAACTACATGGCCAGCGGCCGAGATAAACTTTTTTCAAAAGTCTTGTTTCCAGTTCACCCAGTTCAATTTTTTTATTCCTTTTCTGTAGTTCACCCGACTGACCAGACGAGGTTTGACCTGATCATCCCCCATGAGCAGCATTTCTACGTGAAGGCAGCCACGCCGGCCGAGAGACAGACCTGGGTCGTCGCACTGGGAACTGCTAAGGCCTGTCTGGCTGACAGCAGGAACAGGAAGGAACAAGGTGGGTTTATTTGTTTGTTTTCTTCAGGTCTCAATTTGTGAGAGAGAGCTCAGCTAGAGTTAGATATACTGTTAGTCATATGTATTAACTTGCAAATGTATAAACTTGTAAAACAGTTGTACAAAATGCAACATTTCTTTGCTTTATTTAGATGTACAATGTAATAGTAGGGCTAATAAAAGACCAGTCAAACTGGTCTGGACCTTTTAGCCTGCGGTTAGTACTTTGGTCTTTGATAGCTGGGGGCCTGGGTTCAAATCCCAGGAGCCAGGAGACTGTGGTTCCCACACTGGAAATCAAACCTAGGTAGTGAGAGCACAAAATCCTAATCACTACAGGCATTGGACATGTCCTTGGTGCTGATTTTTGTCGTTATGATACACACTTCATAGACTTCTGAAGTTGATTCTGTGTTACCATGATCTTGATTGGCATTACAACCCAGCTGTGTCATTGAAGTAAATTTCCTTCTGTTGTTTCTCCCATGCAGGGTTGGAGGAATCGAAGGAGACCCTGAAGGGAAAGATGTCAGAACTCAGACTGTACTGTGACCTGCTCCTGCAGCAAGTCTCCAACATCAAAACTGCTGCAACAGATCCGGAACAAGTTGACCAGGAGGTCAGGGAAACTCATAACCTACTGCCTCTAAGTCTGGGAGTTCTACTGGATGCAAATGCATACTCTGGGTCCTATTTGTATGCCAGGGCTCCCACACTCACACTCACTAAGAAATATTTCTTAATCTTAGGGAGCAAATATGGGAGCCCTGGCATAGAAAAAAGATGGTAGCCAGGCTAGCAAATGCACTTTTCTGCACCCAAAATTGGAGCTGTGCACACTCACACACGCACTCACTATCTGCACCTAATTCTTTTTTTACCACAGATGCACTATATATTAAATTTTGTGAAGCAATATGTACTTATGTACAGATGTATAGCATTTTTGATGTTTTAGTAAAATAGGAAAACATTTATTGTTTACATTACTTGTTGAAGATTTGGAAGGTAGTTTCTGCGGCCTGGGTATGACATGAAGCATTTTATATATATCTTCATAATAGAGAGTGTCATTCTCCACAGATGCTCCACGAGTTGTCCTCCCTCCGATTGTACAATGTTTCATTACTTAGGTTTCAGAACGGATGATGGAGCTAGAAACGGTTGATCAGCTCGAAAAATTCATGTCCCATGCAGGGGTCCACACACACAAAAAAAGGCTAGGGTTAGTTGGGAATGAGGAAACAATTTTTTTACCCAGGCCTAATCGGAGAGTGTTGTTTCCCACAGATGCTCCACGAGTCGTCCTCCCTCCTCTCAGCGACGTGTGACACGTTCATCAGGACAATGACAGAGTGCATGAAGCTGGCAGACAACAGCTTCACTCCTCAGATCCCAAACACTTCCATGAACTCTGCGCTACCACCCACACCCACCAGACATGCGAAAGTAAGTAAACTTTTTAGTTATTACTGAGCTGGAGATATATATAGTAGTTGAACTGGTAGTTAGTAGCACAAATTAGCATGAAGCTGGTAGACAACAGCTTCACTCCTCAGATCCCAAACACTTCCATGAACTCTGCTCTACCACCCACACCCACCAGACATGCGAAAGTAAGTTCAAGTTCAGGTGCTCTAGGTGCTTTATTTCATTCCATTAGCAAGTATATACAAGTACAAACAGACTAGTATGTAGCTAGTCTTCCTGGAGTTAGACATACATATACATCAAACTACATCAAAATAAATTGAAACATTCAACATTCAACATTCAACAAACTACATTAAAATTGAAACGTTCAATTTCAGGATAGTCTGACTACATCATGTTTCTAGCAGCCCTGAATTTCCACTGGTCAGACTATAGGCTTGAGGACCAATCAGACTGACAATGAAAGATTGGATACAGGCTAAATTTCTTAGAAGTGTCACTCAATTCTGTTCTTAAAGATTACAACAAAATAAATACTATGCACAAGCTAATTAACTTGTGACTTGAAAAACTTAATTTGTTCCTAACTTTTACCTGCAATTTTTAATTTTTTTAAAATGAAAATTGCAGGTTGCATATAGAACAGTTAAGTATATCTACAATGTATGATAACTCAGAATGAGATGTTTTACACACAATACAGTGTCATTTATGTTTTATTTCCTCTGTTTTACCACCAGAGACCATACAACAGAACATCTTCAGCAACAGAAAACAGGTAAGCTTGTATATGTTTTGCTTCTCTATGTTTTGCAAAACTCAAACACAAAGACTTACTATCATTGTGCCAAATTATTAGCAATGGTGATATTTTATATCATGTCTCTTTTTTGTGTTTCAGTCATGAAAGGATAAACTGCATGCAAAGTTACAGACTCTGACAAAAATTGAATTAAATCTGTAAGAACCGTATCTTTGCTAGGTATTGTATTTGATGGCAATTGTGTGTGTGTGTGTGTGTGTGTATGTGTGTGCGTGTGTGTGTGTGTACGTAAGAAAGTAGACAATTATTTCAGCTATATGTATAAAAAATACATTTTTAAGTTAGATTGTGAAGATTTGTGTCACTTGTTGGCTCCTGACAGCTTAATCCTCATTGAAATACTAAGTGGTACTTTAAATGATTGTATATGATTGTAACATAATTCACATAAAATTGCTTTATGTACAAAAGTGTACAAGCATCGTGTAAAGATTAGTATGTTTTGTTACCAAATATCATGTATTTTCCAATCAATCTACATGTAGAAGTCTAACAAACATTCTATAATCTCTCAGCAGACATTCCCCCACCCCAGTGTCCATTCCTAAAGGCCCCACCACGACATACAAAAACCTGGAGGACTTCGCAGCCACCAGAAGAACGACAGAGAATGAGAGACTCTCGGCCAGCGCTCCCACGTCGCCCATGGTTACAGACGTCCCTAGCAACCTGCCACGCCCACCGACGCTAGAAACCACCGGCCCTCCCAGTGATGTGGAAAAAGACGATGATGAAGAAGAGAGAAAAGTCAAAACTTTCTTTACAGCAGTAGATCATAGGTAGTGTAGTCACCTCTGTCTCTTCCTTTCAGTGGTGGATTTTGGTGGTGGATATAGCATACATGGAAATGATAATAAACCTACAATGAATGTCACTTGAAGACAGGGGAAAATGTCGATACTATGCATGATGTACAAAATGACTGATAAACTGGTGGACGTACCAACTAACAAGTACATGTACCTAATGCCATCTCGGAAAAGAAGAAGAAATAGCCATCCCTTCAAGTATTGGAGTTTTCAATCAAGCATTGAGGTGTTCAAAAACGCATCTTTTCTAGAACTTTTGCAGAGTGGAACTCACTGGCACCAAGTACAGTAGGGGCGTTATCACTAGATAGCTCTAAACAATGGTTAGGTTGAATTTTCATAAATGTGTAAGACAGATTACTAAGACTTACTGACACATTGTGGCCATGTGCAGAGGAGTAACCGTTTAGTTATGAACATCATTTTTCTGTCAATTCACTTTTTTTTCTTTTTTATCACTTTCCGAGCACCCTCACCATACTGGCACTTCCTTGCCAGGATGCCCCAATGGGGTTTGGCCCAGTACAAAATAGATGTAGATGTAGACAGATCTAAACAAATTTTAGACACTAACTTTTGGTTGTGTTTCCCCCCAGTTTTACAGATGTTAGACTGACCGTAAGTGGTGACATCCCCACCGCACCATTCCTAGATGCCTGCAATGACATGCTACCTTTCTTTGGTGAGTCTTTTGGATGCCTTCACTTAAAGAAGATATAATCAATCATAATTACTGTTTTATTATGTATTTTGTATGTGGAGAGACAACTGGCAGAGGTGCAAATATGCACCTGTTTTGTCTCTCCTCCATGCTACTTGCTGTTGAATTGGAAAGTCTAATAAATGAGTAAATAAATAAATAAATAATGAAACCTATTTGAAGTGACTTCATATATACTCCTGCTTGTGCAAGAATGGGTGAAGCTGTAACAGTTATTAAAGTTCCTCCCACGGGTCTACTACCGTTTTGAGAGATTTGGAGGCGAAAGGAGATAAATAATATATGCACACTTTATCTTGAACTCAAAAAACTATCTTTATCATTTGTACCTGTGTATAGTGAGAGGGAAATGTATTGCTTTCATCGTGTTTTACTTTTCTTGTGTTGAGTTTCTGGTTTCATGCAGAAGAATTTGTACTGAAATGCATCTTCATACAATCATGTAGTATCAAATCATCATACTATAATTTTGAACAATGGTCTGATATATTTCTCCTCCAAACAGGTGTGCATAGAAACTTCCATTCAATCTCCTTTATTCAAAATTCATTGGCAAAAGTTGTGTAAAGATTTTGCTTGACTGCTTCCAGTGCAGTTTTCAGTCCTAGAGATTTGTCATATAGACTAGGCACCATTTCAACAAGAAATTAGGAGCCTTTTGCCCTAAGATATATTCACTTGACAGTATTTTATCTGAAGATATTTGTGATGTTTCAGACCATGTAGGAGGACCAGCTATGGCACCTGTAAAAATGGATGTACAGGGAAATATTAGGGTGAGATTTCTCTTATGCTATATATACATTTGTATCTGTAGGTGTTCAATTTTTGTCTTAAAAATGGGTTACTGTCCAGCATGAGTAACAGTTCATTTTTGTAGTTTTGTGTAGTGTTTTCATAGGATGTCATATCTTTTTCGACACAACATTTGGAAACTACAGTCGGGATGTTAACCTTATATGCACAAATACAACCTTGTTTGAGATGTTCTGCCGAAGTGTTATGCATAATGCCAATATTGTATATTGTGATAATGTTTTGTATAATATGTAAATGTTTGTAACATTTGTTGTATATTGTGGAGTTGAACTTGTGTAATGTATTTTTAATGGGTGCCCAGGGATACCTGGAAATCAGATCAACTGATCTGAGGTATGCCCTGGTGAAATAAATAAACTTGAAACTTGAATGCATTATGGGTATCGTGCAGGTGCAGTATGTTCTGCCGACGTGCTTACATGATATTTACCACCTCTACAGAAGCTAACTCAGAAGTACTCGACCAACCCGGCAGCCTACAGCACGTTACAGGACATTATCAAACAGGAGATGGCTACAAACACCACTCAGGTCAAGAACTCTGCTACAGATGCGATCATGTGGTTAAAAAGGTACGTACAATGTACATTCACTCACTCAGTCACTCGCTCTCACTTGCTCAGTCACTCGAAGAACTCAGGTACAGATGCTATTGTGTGGTTAAAAGGTATGTGCACTCGCTCGCTCACTCAGTTAATCACTCAGTCAGTCAGTCAGTCACACACAGTCTCATCTCACTCACTCACTTACTCACTCACTCACTCACTCAGGTCAGGAACTCAGTTACAGATGCTATTATGTGGTTAATTTCTGACTCGCTCACTCACTCACTCTGACTTGCTCACTCACTCACTCAGTCACTCAAACAAGAACTCAGGTACAGATGCTACTGTGGTTAAAAAGGTATGTGCACTCGCTCGCTCATTCAGTTAATCACTCAGGCAGTCAGTCACACACTCATCTCACTCGCTCACACACTCACTCACACAAGACTGGTACAGCTGTACAGTCAAAATTTGGACTTTTTTATTTCCACTTCTATCATTTTTATTCAGGGTTACAAGAATAGCATTGTATGTATACATATTCCATGTACAGTCAAACCTGCCCTAGAGGACCACTCAGTGTACCAACATTATTTTATGTGAACAGGTGGTTACTATAGACAGAATTTTTACTGGCATTCCCTGTGTGGTGTAGTGGATAGAGCGTCCGACTGTCAAGCAAGAAGACCCAGGTTCAATCCCCAGGGTTGGACCCAGACATGTCCGGACATGCACCCAGACGTTGTGCCCTTGGGAAAGGCACTTAACACGTATTTCCCCCCTCAGTTAGAGGGTTCCTGGGCCCTACTAGGGTTTGGGTTGGCGTTAGGAAGAGCATCCAGCCGTAAAAATCTTGCTTCAAAAAAAGACTTGTACTTGGTGCAAGCACGTCTAACCCCCGTTTGGGGAAAAATGACGTTAAATTCGGTTAAAAAAAAAAAATTCCCTGTGTCAGTGTGACAAATTGTTTATAAGGGATCACCAAAAGGTGGTCACCTTGGCCTTTAAACTTTAAATTAAAAAAAAAATGGTACCTACATTTACAGATTTGACTGTACTCACATACATGTACATTGTATCTGGTATACAATGAAGAGATATTTTGTGTCTCCTTTCCTCAGGGGTCTCCAGTTTGCCCGAGAGTTATTTATGGAGATTGTTCAGGGAGAGAGGGACTGTACAGTAGCAGTAGGTAAGTACATCCGTGAATAAAGTAAGTCACTGGTTAAAGAGACTCTTTTTACTTACAACACAACCAAGGGTTTTATTCACAGCAGATGTTCCGTCTGTCACCTTCCTCAGGGCAATTCTGACTGGTTCACATTGTACTGCAGCATGTAAATGTGTAGATATCTAAATATTGTACATTTGGGAATCAATGCATCTATACATGTAGCAGCGACACTTGTGCTGCAGTGCAATGTGAACCAGTCAGAATTGCCCTGAGGAAGGTGACAGACGGTCACCGAAACGTCGGCTGTGAATAAAACACTAAGTCTTGGTTGTGTAAAAAGAGTCTCTTTACTCTGTAGGTAAGCACAATTTCCACGGTTGGCTTTAAATGTCACTGTTAAAGTCTCTTCTATCTCAAATTATCCTGGAAGTTTGACATGTAATCATGATAGTATGATGCTAAACTTTATTCCAACAGAGAGAATACACAAGGATCAACATTTCAATGCCACTGTTGCCTTCATCAGGATAATTAATGATGATAGGTATCCATAAAGTCTTGTGTGGATAAGATTATGTAACTCATGCAGGTTTATGTTTGGAAGTATATGATAGTATACTAGAACTAGTATACATATGATAGTTATTATATATACTGTAACAATGTTGTTTCTGCAGGTAATGCATATGAGAAGACATTGAAGAAATATCATGGTTTTGTAGTTCGAGGTGTGGTTGCTGTGAGTATAAACATTTTTTATTAGAAACTTATAGTAAGTAAAATATGCTTATAGTAAGTAAAATACACTTATAGTAAGTAAAATACACTAGCTTCATAATCATACAAAAGTATCGGGATTCCATAGTTTAGTTTTGAATTGGAGTCACCAAGTTTGTATAAGTGCTGACTGGATGTCAACTTACATAACTCCAAAGTCACACACCTACATGTGCATGTACATGTAAGTCTTCTATTAGAAGCTACTAAATAGTAGAATTATTGTGTCATGGTCAGGAAAATTAAGAAAGCATTTGTTTGTATGAACTATTCTTTACTTATGAGAAACTCAAATTGGCTTTTCATAATCTAGCAGATCAGTGGCTAATGGACATTCATGTGGCCAATAGATACTGTCTTGATTCTGTAGGTCTGCTTGGAGATTAGAGGTACCAATCAAACAAAATACATAACAACGATACATAAGTTAAAGTCTTAATAAATCCATACACATGTTTTACACATACCAGGACTGATGGTACAAAATACATGATATAAGAGTGAGAACTGGTATAAAGTCCATGTCTGTTTGTAAGTAAGTAATTTATTTTGTTCTACTTTGTCTCCCACAGCTTGCCATCAAAGCGGTTCCGTCGTACGAAGACTTCCGTACGAAGGTGACATCGCCAGCGGGAGAGGAATACAGGGACACACCACTGGTGGAGAAAGCTCTCATGCAGGACGCTGAAACCTACGCAGACGCTCTCGGTGTCCTTACAACGATTCTCCACGAATTTTACGTCACTCACAATCTCGATTCTCAAGAGGTTGTGGGGTAGCCACCAAAAGACAGGGTGCCCAGTATGTAAACCAGGGCTCTAGCCAGCTCAAAATTTTTTCCGGACCTACTCAGACGCTCTCGGAGTCCTGACCACGATTCTCCACGAGTTTTACATCACCCACAATCTCGATTCTCAAGAGCTTCTGGGGTAGCCAGGACAGCAAGAGAGAGCTTGGCCAATATGCAGACTAGTGTTGTTGTTTGTTTGTTTTGATTAGGCATTTTTGTTGATGTTTATGTTAAAACTTTGGATCCAACACAAAGAATATGGTTCTCACCTACATGTAGAGCCTGTAACTAAAATGTATCAACACAGACAAACTTTCATGAAAGCATTTTTGTTGATGTTGTTCTAAAATGTTGTTCAGTTCAGTCAAACCTGTCCAAGGAGACCACTATATGGATAGGTGGTCAATATATACTTAGATAGATAGGATTAAAATGCTTGTGTTCATGGGAAAAGTTATATGAGGGACCCAAAAAATAGCCAGGTGGTCCTTATGTAGAGGTGGTCACTTGAATGTGCTTTCCAATCTGTAGTGACCATTCGAGTGGCTTGAATATGAAGAAAATGGTAGAACAAAAAGCTGGTTACTTTAGACAGTATTTTTAAGTTAATGCTCATATCAATGAGACAAGAATCTAGCTATAGGGGACCAGCAGAAATGGCCAGGTGGACCTTATGCATACTATTATGTGTTTACTAGACAGTTTTACATACAGTACATCAATGGCAAGTGAGTCAACATTATGTAAAGGCGGTCACTTGTACAGATTTGACTGTATATCAATGGCCAGGCTAGGTGCCCTTATGCAGAGGTGGTCACTGGTACACATACAGTATTTGCCCAAAATACAAATTTGACTGTGTCTTTGAAAATATGCATCTGCAAGTGCCAGTAATGGAGACAACTTAATTCTATCCGTCTGTCTGTCTGAACTATTTTGAATGGAATTTGCCCAAAAAATGTACCTCATTCAGTGTGTTTTGTATAATACCAACAGAAGAAAAGTATGATTCTCATGTTACCTGGTTGAAATACTGTGGATTCTGATAATCATTCAAATGATTTGTATTCTCCATCCTTTCTTTATAGCTCTAGTTTTCTTCACGATATATATTCTTAAAAGGTATTTGATCTTCAAAGATAGTAATGGTCTCTATTATAGCCATGTACCTAAACAAATTTAAGGTACAGGTATGGGTACACAGGGTAAGGTTCAGACCTGTACCTGTATTTTAACAATTTGCCTCTATAATTTGTGAGTTGTACATACACATGTATAGCCAACTGTATTTTTTAGTGGTTAATTGTTGTATCATTGTATGATGGTTTACATACTGTAATCTACAAAGAAGAATATTTGCAAGTTTTCCTTGTTTTTGAGTGCTGAATTGTGAAAATTGTTGTCTATGAGATGCTATTTCTAGTGTAAAAACTGGTGTCTAGTATTCAGTGTTTTATTTTGTTGAGGTACATGTAGACTAAATGTTCAGGTCTGGACTTGTTCCTTAAATCTTTTTTACAGGTACAGGTATGGGTATTAAGGTACACAGCCCAAATAAGTATGTAGTAACTGAAGGTGCATTTCTGACTCAATAGTATGATGGTGTTTGGTCATATTTCTAAGTTTGTGAATAATTGTTATGGAACACAGAGTAATTTATTATTGGATGTCACAAATTTTGGAGAAACGCATATAAAGTATTATAAATGATAATGAGACAAACGAATTGTGAATGAAATAAAATTGCACAGCATATGGAAATGCCTGGCTTCATGTCATATCTGATACTTGGGGGGGGATATCATATGTTAAATTGTACTTGGAGAGATTTTAAAAGTTTGACTCAATCATCGTACAAATGGTTTTGATTCAGTGGGAACATCACATATACACAGCCAACATCATGTATCACTGCATCAAAGTCAGAAACAAAACATTAAATCAGAGCCTTTTCTTGTCTCCTCTCTTCATAGTTATCTGCCATCCACGTTCAGGCATGGCAATAGACATCTGTGCCCATTTTCGGCATGGTGACCACTGTCTAAAGGCAACAAAATTTCTCTTTTTTTCCCCAAAATCAATCATGATGTCATCCATAAAAATTACTTGCTGTGGCCTAATGCATAACATGGAACTGATAGTGAGTTCAGCACCAAGGAGAGGTCCATACCTATGATACCAGGGCATTGCTACTGTTTATTAAAGGCACTAAGTCAGGCTTCCTTTAATAACACCTATGCTTAGGACACTGTTTACTTCTTCTCACTTTCAAGTTATCTTTAAGTAGAAGAAGACATAAAAGAAAAGATTCTTAAAATTCATGTTTTAAATAAAGATAAGGCAATTTTTTTATTGTAATTTTCCTTTAAAACAAACCATTCTTAGGTAAATTTTTATTCCAATATGAAGCACAATATCATTTTTATGCTGCCATCGACACAGAGGACAATACAGTACCCGTTTTCATTTGAACGGTGAACTTGTAACTCCATCCTGTCCACTGACGGCCGCCATCTTGGATTCGGAACACCGGCCAGACAGAGTTGCACCCTGGGTACTGCCTGTTCCTGTCACCACCTGTTGTCAGAGAAGGTTTTGTAAGTTTAATCATCATCATCATCGTTTGTGAGCCATAAATTAGCGATAGGTTTGGTATTCAGCACCAAGGACAGGGGAGAGAGTGACTGTCAGAGAAGCCCAGGGACAGGTGTGTTTGCTTATGTGTGGATGGTGTTCAGCACCAAGGACGGGAGAGAGTGACTGTCAGAGAAGCCCAGGGACAGGTGTGTTTACTTATGTGTGGATGGTGTTCAGCACCAAGGACAGGGGAGAGAGTGACTGTCAGAGAAGCCCAGGGACAGGTGTGTTTGCTTATGTGTGGATGGTGTTCAGTTCAATCACTTAATACCTGTAGTGAATATTATAATCATGCATCTGTATGTAACTTTACTATTCATTGATTTTGCAATATGGTGTCTGCATAACCAAGTTTTCAAAGAAAAAATTAATAATCAAATTGAGCCTTTTTTACATTGTAAAATCAGCTCAGTGAGTTGGTGAACAGCTATTGGACCAGGGAATGTCCTTGAATGGTTACAGGCAGTGCTTATGATGAATAAAGATGATGTTAAAACTACGTCACACCATCAGCAGTTCTTAATCTACTCATTAGTCTACCACACCTCACCCAGAGCTGACTGGACATATTTGTCCTGAGTGTAGCATTTGTCAGTAACTCTCAGAGACTGAGCCGGACCCTGTCCTGTTAAAGCCAGCTGGTCACTGACAACTGAAGGTATTCTTAAGGTAAGTGCTGATGCATACATTTCTAATGTGCCCCAGGTCCAGAATTTTTACTTCAGATTTAGAGGGAAGCTACAATGTTAACAGACCTTTTCTGCACAAAAACACCAATTTTTGTGTCAATATTAAATCTTAAACCGTGTAGTCTAAAAAATATGACACACATATTAGTGGTGTACAGTTACATTTTAATGCACATTGGCACTGTGAAATAAAGCAACATGAAAATTTACTGATTTACAGCATATCAATAATACACATTGAACGTTTTTAATTTAAATGAAGGCCGTCTACTGTAATGTGCTTTTTAATTCGCTTGCAGCAAAGATAACACTAAATATCATAATCCTAAATATCATTTACTGTTCAATAACATTCAATTTGCAATATGCTCTCTGTAAATTGCAAACAGGTTTTCAAATTAAAGAAGCCCAAGACATGACGATAATCTAAGTTAGATCCTTTTTTTCAGTACTGATATTGACAATATCTCCTATACAGTTATAGAACCAGGAAATGTCCTTCAGTGCTTGTGAATGTTGAATAAAGATACCTTCAAGACCTTGAAGATACCTTGAAGAATCTTAGGTGACCAAAGGTGATGCCTTAGTATATAACCCTCCTCACTCCTTGTACTTCTTTTGCTCGCAATGCTGGTTGAACTTCTTGCTTATAATAAGAACTTCTTGCTTATTAGTTATTAGTTATAAAGTTTCTAACTGACTTTTTTTACACTAGTACTATGGCTTCATTCATGTAACCAAGGTCACCAGACAACAGTCCCCACGATATAGTCCCTGTATGGGTCTTGATATGGATGCTAATTCTAATTTTTGCTAAGTTCTCTCTTCATTTTCCTATTTCAACTTCCCAAATTTCATTTGTCCAGTGATTTCTCTCCATTTAGTACATTTGAAATTTTTTGCTTTTTAGTTCTTTCTCTTCATTTTCCTACACCTGAATTCTTCTGTGACAGGGGTCCGTGATAGTGCACGGTTAAAAAAATGACCAAGGGGTTTTGATGGTTCATGTTTGAGTTCACGTTTCTCATGATTTTCTGCAAAATGGCATTAAGTACTAACATGGCTTTAAAGTGGAAGAAGTGGCGTGTTTTGGGTGCAAATTGATTTCGGGCCCCAGGCTTACATCCAGGCATCCAGTGTTTAAATGGTTTGACACACATTTACCTTTCATGCATTCTGTGGATTCTGCTGCTATGCCTCACGCGACGGGCTATAGTGAGAATCTCATATTAGGATTTTCTTTCAAATTGTTCCTTTGTTGATTATACTTAAGCCTTCCGACAATATCAGTCATTTTGGTAGCTAAATTATGGGTGATGGGTTTAATTCCATGTGAAAACGGCCAATTTTGGTATCATTCTTACCTTCTCTCTCTACAATTTACTAAAATCTGAGAGGTTAAAGAAATTAAAATTCTAATTGTTCTTGTAGCTAGTCTTAAAGAGGGATATCCTTAATTTCTACACAGTGTTTTTTTGCTTCAGAATTATTTCCCATAAGAGACAGTCGCTAGAGTTGAGGGTGTGCAGAATCAAATTGAAACACAAAATAAATTTATGAGTGTTACACCTGAAATAGGAGTAAAGTGGATTTCCCAAGGCACAGCACTGGTGCCAGGAGTACCATGGATTTGTACACAGAACCTTCAGATTCTGAGTCAAACCTAACCACAAGACCACCTTAACATTAAAGGTACAAATAACATCTTGTTCTCATTCTGAATTTGCCAACAGATTCAAAATGTCTCAGTCCAACAGAGAAGAGAACAATCCGGTTTATGATACAAACCATCCAGAGGAGCCGACAAGCCTAGGAAAAATTGAACAAGATAATCTACACTCTGATCTGTATGTAGCTGGAAATGAAGTCGAGCATACAAACAGAAAGGAGCATTATAATTATATGGCTCCTACATGTAGTAGACAAGGACAAGACATGTTGGAGGCTACATATGTAGCTGGAAATGAAGTAAAGAATGCAAGCACAAATGAGCATTATTATATGGCTCCTAATAGTCAAGAACAAGACATGTTGGAGGCTACATATGTAGCTGGAAATGAAGTAAAGAATGCAAGCACAAATGAGCATTATTGTATGGCTCCTATTAGCCAAGAACAAGACATGTTGGAGGCTACGTATGTAGCTGGCAATGAAGTCGAACAAACAACCACAAATGAGGATTATTATATAGCAGATAATAACGATATCCCCACCCCAGAGGTCGCTGATGTATATTCTGTATCTG